AATCATTGATACTGATTTTGACAGAAGGCACAATCTTTTGGGAATTCTTTTTCTTCCCAGGCGCTGCTGCACTACTACCAGCTACTCCGGTCAAAGTTTTTCGGCTTTTCGACGTCAGCGAAGATTTCTTCTTCGTTTTCTGGACTTCAGCGACTTCGCCGGCGGATTCTGGTTCTGAGTGTCCAGAACCTTGCTGTTCTTGAAATTTCCCTGCGACGAGTAAGACGTCGGAGGTGTGGTCCGCATCATGATCTTCATGCTTCAAATTGTCCTTTCCAGCCCCCGTTGCAGATAAGTCAGAATCGTCTTCACATGTTCTGTTCTTCAATTTCAAAATCGCTTCCTGTCCGCCGACGTTCCGACCTCCATCGTCTCTCTCCCCATCTTCGTAGTTGGCCCTTCCTGACAATGAGCCTCCTCGCGAAGAGGACGGAGAATCATCACTACCTTCGTTCCTCGCTAGGCTTTGACCCGAGGAGCAGCTCCTGGTGCGGGGGCCAGCAGCGGGCCTAGAATCCTCACTCATTTCCCGTTGGTCCGACGCGATTATACTTGGTTGATCGTTTTCCGCAGAGTTGCTCTGTCCTTCCGACGGGCTGCTCGAGGTGGAGTTGTTGATCCCACTTCTACTGCTGTCCTCTACATCCGATGACTCATCTTCTGAGTCCGTTGAATCCGACGACTCGGTCGAGGAGTCCACCATTTGCTCCGCGATCCGCCGGGCCTGCGCCAGGTCAATCTTGTGCAAAAAATCGTTGTCGCCGTTCAGTACGGTGAGGCACTTCGGAGCCCGGAAACACCGCGGCCGGATTCGGTGGCCGAAGGTTTCGACGTCCTGGGGGGACGAAATGTGTAGTCTATTTTCGTCGGTTTCCTCGTCATTATAGCTACTTGTAGTTGGGAAATTCAAATTTTTTCTCTTTCCTACTACTTTTCCATCTGAATTTGGCAGATGACTCACGTTTAGACGATCCTCCCCGAGCAGGACATCGTCGTTGTTCTCTATCTGCTTGTTCTGGCCGAAAGTAGGTAAAAATCTCCCTTTCCCGCCACCGCCGGCTGCAGCAGCTCCCCCTGCGAAATCATTGGACTGTTCTAGCTCTGACTCCACTGGTCCTGCGGCGCTGGTTTCGTGAAGCGGTATGGTTTCGATGATTTCCAAGTCTAAATGTATCTTGCGCAACGCGTCGTTGTCCGTGTCCAAAACGAACAAACAGTTCCGACTCGCACACACCGCAATACCGGACACCCCGTGGAGTAAGGATTTCGCGAGCGGACCGTCCTTGTAACCAAATTTCTTGTACTGCCCGGCAAAAATCACCGGGTGTAAGGGGGGCGGGGAGGGTGCAGGGGTCTTCGCGGGAAAATCAAAATTTTCTCGTCCAGAAGCAAACTCCGAAGCGAAAGCGGAGACTGCTGTCGTTGACGCCCTCGCATTCGCCACCACCGCATTGAACCCGGACCCGTGGGCGGCCGCCCCTCCTGCGGCTGCGATGCTACTACTGCAGTCGACTCCATTCTGCAGCGCCACGAGATCATTTGCCGCACCGTTCGAATTAATACCATGCCGATCTCCTCGATTGTTTCCCAACAGAGCGCTTAAGGCGTTGGCGTTCCGGGTTTTCGTTTTACCAGCGGGGGAACATGAACGATTCCTGTACGCGGAGACATTGTTCCTTGAGGCTGACGGACTATGACTCGCCGCGTAGTTGGCGTCAGACGAAGAGGCTCGTCCTGGACGATAATTTGTGTTGGTAGAACCACCAGCAGAAGTACCTCGAACTACATTAACATTTGGGGTGGAAGATACAATCTGACTGTTCATGCTTCCTCCCGCGGCTGTAGTGGAAGTCGCTGTCCCGCCTCCACTGCCACTTAACCAGGACTCGTGCCAGCGCCAGATCACATGTGCCACCGAATCCGCACAGTAGATGAAGCCGTTAAAGTGGCAGAGACAGGTCGCCGACAGGATCTCCTTGGGCTTGCCATTTTTCACGGCGCTCCTGGTTGCCGTGGCAGAAGAAGTAAAACCAGTGGTACTAGATGACCGGGGATGTGATTGACCATGATTTTCCGCCTCCTCGTCCTGGACCACCTGGACTTTCAGTGTGCGGTAGGCCGTTTGCTCTTTGTGTAGCGTTTCTGCCAGGAGGTCGCACAACTGGACAATATCCGACGCGGTAAGTTCCACCAGCATCTGCTTCAGCAGGGTGGGAGTAAGCACTAAATTCTTCGCATACGCCGTGTTCTGCCGGCGGATTTCCTTCAGAGTCACCGAGGGTGTGGCGGAAACGTTCTGCTTATTGTTATTCATCCCTGCTGAAAAAAATCCGGCTTGTTCCACCGCCGTTGCTCGAATTCCCCCCTGCGTCGAGCCTCCACCCGCCGCGTGGTCTGCTCCTGGAGCAGCGTTGTATTGCTGCATTTTCGGTACTGGCTTACAAGTGGATACCAGCAAGTTCCCATCTTTGCTAGTAGTCGTTCCTGCAATCATCGGATGGGCGTAATGGTTCGCGGAAGTCGTAACTGACGCGGAGCTGCCAGGTAGATGACCGAAATCTTTATCGCTGTTCCCGAGATACATCAGGCTATCCGCCGGTCGAAGTATCTCATCGATACAGCTCTGCAGTTTGTTGTCACTTGTTTGCACAACTGCGGCGGCTGTTGTGGTGGGTAGTACACAGAGCCTCTGTTCTTCGCCGTCGCGGGCAAATCGTGCCGTGGTAGTCGTGCCAGCACCGCTGGCGAGCTTAGAAAAACCGTGAAGTGCATGGTCTTCACGCTCTCCTCTGACCGGGTCCGGGGCTGCCGCTGCTTCGTCCGGGGATATAACAATCATCCCTGTGCCGGTCGTTTGCTGCTGCTCATCATGCTGCTCATCTTCGCTTTTCGTGAAGAAGTAAATGCTGTCCTCAAATGCGTGCAGGTTGAAAAACGACTGCGGCGCCAAGGTATTTTCCATGTCGTCTTCCTCGCCCGGCATACTACCGGTTCTACTTCCGGTGCCAACATTATGCTGCGCTGCCGTCGTCCCGTAGGGACTGTAAAGGTTCAACCCTGCTACCGCAGGAGGCGTAGTAGATGAACCTCCACCTGAACCTATCGCGAGAAAAAAGTGTTTCACTAGTAAGGCTTATTTTGCAAGTATATTTGCATTACAACTACAAGTTCGTTACACATGACAAAGACAACTTGCCATGCGTACTTCCTAAGGGAAAACACGTGGAAAAACCCAATGTCTTGCATGTGTAGCAAGACAAATGCGTCCTGTGCTGCAATCTACGCATCACAAGTTTACAGTGAAACAGTCTTTTCTTGCGATAGACCCCCTGTTTAGTGCTGCACCCCCGCCGGCACCGTGCGCAAAATCCTGCTCTCCCCGCGCGGCAAACGAAGCAGAGGCCGCTAGGCTGGTAATGTTCGGATTGTGGTGGTAGCTTTTCAGCAACGCATTGCAAAACACCTCTTGCGTGACCAGGCGCTCGTCAAAGTTTTGGTCTTCGAGCAACAGGTTGAAACAGGTGATATCCCGTGCAAAAACGACGTTTCCATGGCAATGTTGCGACGGAAAATTTGCTACACAGATTCAGCATTTGGCTGTCGATCTCGATGCGCATGACGACTTTGGAGGCGCAGCTAATACGGCCGTATCGCAAATCGCTCTTCACCTAATAAACCAAATTACAGCATGACAAATTCCAACACAACGTTTTTGAAAATGCTCCTGAGGAGGCCGGCGTCGATGAGAGACATCCTGCACCAACATCCTGCGTGCGCAAATTTGCATGGGGACGTTTTTCCTCCGCATAGTTGTTCAGAATGAACTGCCTTTGTGATTTATCAAATGCAAAAGTGTCTGGGTCTGGAAGAATGCAAGACTTGTCATGCATATTTCTCATGACCCCTGATGCCTGTAATGCATGACCTAGCACCACAGACTTTTGGAGGGCTTCCTGATGCGCCTTCCGCATGAGAAATGCCCTCTCTGCGTAGCACAAACTGGACCTTTCTTGCTGGTCATGCAACACTAATTTTTCTAGAATCCAAAAACAGCATGACAAGTTGCATTCTTCCAGACCCAGACATTTTTACATTTGATATGATTCCTCGAAAAACTCCTTCCGGCGAAGTTCCGCAGCGTTTCCCGCGAGCTGGCTATCAAATGTAAAAATGTCTGCCTCTGGAGGAATGCAACTTGTCATGCTAAATCTGAAGCATGCAAATATCTGTGTTGCATGATTACCAGCATAAGTCGTCCAGTTTTGACCAAGTCGGGAGGGAGTTTCTCATGCAGGATAGGCATGAGAGAGATCGCACAGACTCTGTCATGCTAGATCCTGCATTCCAGACCTCATGGGTCATGGAAAAGCTGCATGACAAGTCGCGCACTCTTCCAGACCCAGACACTTTTCCAGTTCATACTGGCGGATCCCGTTCAATTTTTCCAGAATCGGCTTCACCTGCTCCGTCGCTGGAGGAGCCGGTGGGGATGAACCCGAATGTGTTTGCACCTGCTGCTGCTGCTGCCCGAACATCTTCGACAATTATGTCAATGTCTTTCGTCAATTTGCAAACTGATCAGACATTAAGTTGAAGTGCGAAAGCAAATTTTTCCGAACCGACCTGGATGGAGCACGAACATAGCAGCGCCGTCTCTTGCGATCGACAGAACAAGATAGTACTGATCTGAAAGTATATTAGATCAGAGCTCCGGAAGATCCCGCATTCCATATCTACTTCTCTTCGGAAGTGAAAAGGATATTCTGTAGACTAGGAAGATACATAATTCTTCTCACAAAAAAAAAAAATTTTGAACTCCGCCAGCACTCAAGAATGTACGTCGGCAGCACACGTGTCAACTCATCTCTCTTTGTTTGGAAAACACTCAAGCACTCCTCGAGCAAAAGTTTAAAAAAAAAAGAACAAAGTGCACTGCCACCGCTTCCCGTCAAGGAAGCATCCACGCAGACCCTGCGACCCGCAGTTCTGAAACTCTGCACATTCCCTTCAACAAAACAGGCTCAAATTTCTTATTTTTCTGCCTGATGAAGATATAGAATTGATTATCTGGGGCGCTGCTGCAATCTCGCTCTGTGCTTGTTGTCTTCAAGGCAGGAGGCAATGCCTTATGGAGGGCAATAGTTCATCTGTCAGCCATGCTATAATGCATGAAGTGACGTACGAATATTTCTCTAAAGCTACGTCTTCTCTCATATCATCGTCTCCCGTACCAGGTTGGCAAAATTCGCGCCCCCGCCCTGCACTTGCCCGGGCCGACGAGTCGGATCTTTAAAATTTTCCTGCTGCGTTGTACTCCTACTCGTATTCGCGCCCGGGCGGGCCAACCTCGTTTTATTCCCCTGCACTTGCACAGCGGCCTTTCTATTCCCTCCAAACGCCGGGTCGTCTCCGCCCCCCATGTTGCCGGTGCTGGAGTCACTTTCCGTCGCCGTCTCTCGTAGCCGCTCCCCGCCACGCCGCTTATTTGCAGATGATCCAGCTGCGCGGCCGGGCGAACGCTTGTTTCGCGCTGCTGCGGCAGGAGGGGCGGGTGACTTAGTATTTATACGCGCCTTGGTGAACGTCTGCGCAACACTGACGGACTCTTGTTCGGTACTAGAGGGCAGCAAGTCGGTCCCGTCCGTGTTCATGAACACATTTCGGTAGGTTTGCTGCAGCTGGGAGGTCCTCCGCGCCCAATTCCCGTCGGGGTACCGAGAGGAATCTTCGTCAAGTACCTCATCGCCCTGCTCATACCCTGCGTTGCTGTGTATCAAGTCGTACTGCGCACAGAGGCACACAAAGCCGCTCAACATCATGACCAGCCCGATGATGCCGACCAGAAGCAGCGCCCAGGAGGGAATGGCCTGCGCGCAATCTTCGCGCGCGTCGGCAACATCGGCCTCTTCGTTTGACATTGTTTTGGCTTCATCATCATCATCATCATCATCTAACTGCACTGGAGGGGGAGCGTGCAATGGGTCGCCGTCAGCCGCTCCAGCAGTCTCCGCCTCTTCTCCTGATCCACCTGCTTTGTCGCCCCACAACCCCCGGCCGCCATAATTGTCGCGGCCACGTTTGAAAAAGACTTTCCCCTGCTCCTGCTCCCTGTTGTTCTCGACGCCCCAGGATGAACCCTCCTCGCCGCTAGCTGCACTATCCTCTCCAGCTCCCCTGTAGTTTGGAGACCGCGCCGGGGGCTTGTTGGTATTAATCTTCAACCCTGCAGCGTCTTGTTGTACTTGTTGTTCAATGTCGTGCTCTACTACTTGATGTTCCCCGCTAGTAGTTGTACCGCTCTCGTCGTCCCTCGCAGGAGCAGGCCCTAGTCCTTCTACCACATGATTGTTCTTCTGCGACGCAAGAACTACTCCGGCGTGCCGTAGCAGGTCTCCCAGAGTTATGGATGTGTCAGGATCGAAATCGAAAAAATCAAAAAATTTGTGATGCGTAAAATGTAGGGCACGTAAGGCCTGTATTGGGGAACAGGCAAATGAGGCCGATTGTAAGCGTGTTTAGGGGTATACAATGTGCTGCCAGAGTAGAATGACAGGAGCAGTCTTCTTTGCCCAAACAGCATGACAGACTGAATTTAGGGGCTCCCGAAATTTGTCACGCGCCACTTACAAACTGAGGCTCCAACTGGTATCGATTTCATGCATCACAAGTTTTTCGATTTTGTCAATTTCGATTCTGACACTTCCATAAGAGTGGCGTGAAACATGACCTCTGAGAGCATGTTCAAGTACTGAATCCCCTCTTCCTGACACACCCCGGGCACGTGGAGAAAGGTCCGCGCCACCGCTTCAACCTCCGCCTCGGACAGCCCCGTCTGTCCGCTAGACAACCAGGCTTGCTTACGCGCCATATCCTGTGTAAAAACGTCCCCACGACCCTAGAGTTAATGATTTTTGGGAACTTAGCAACACAAGTTGAGAAGTCATGGGAGTCACGCATGACAACTTCCTCTTCGTATTGTTGTATATCCTGTTTGCAGCATTGCAAATGCCAAACACTGGTTGGAAATGCCTCTCATGGGGATCATGCGCAAATGCCTCTCATGGGGATCATGCGGATGCGCATTACAAACATTCCTGGAATTGCAAATCTGCATTACAGCTCTCGGGTCCTCGTGGGGGCGTTTTTACTCAGGATACGCCACCTCCCACATTTTGCTGTCTTCCGTGTCAGCGGTCTGGATGAGGTCGATGTTGTACGCCTGGGCGGTCTATCAAATGCAAAAATGTCTGGGTCTGGAAGATTTCTAGATTTGTCTTGCATATTTTCCGTGACCCATGATGTCTGTGATGCATGCCGTAGCATCACAGATTTTTAGAGCGCTTTGCGATACCTCTGCCGCATGAAAACGCCCTCTCTGCTTAGGACAAACTGGAGTCCTCTTGCTGGTCATGCAATACAAATTTTTTCAGAATCCAGAAACAGCATCACAAGTTTAGAATGTTCCAGACCAAGGCATTTTTGCATTTCATACGGTCGCTTTCACTTGCGTGTAGTAGCACTGCTCGTAACAGAGGGACGGAAACTTCACGTCTTGAAAAAAATGGAAGTATCACACAGAAAAAAACTGGCAGGTCACATTTGTAATGCAAAAATAAATACACAAAAAGATCTGTATTTCATATACGAAACAGCATGCTACGGGGCCATCCATGGCATATTTTTTTGTGTAGTTATTTTTCATTACAAATATGCCCTGCCTCCAGCTTTTTTCTGTGTGATAGGAAGTCCGCACCGCACACCGGCGTTCCCGGCTGGAACCCGGGCGCGTGCGCGCACTGGACAATACAGGATTCGAAAAGCCTTTCTTGCAGCCTCGCGCGGGTTAGCTGTTGTTGTACTGGTAGTTGATGTTCCTGTTGATCTTCTACTGGCGGTAGAGAAGAACTAGTTTTACTTTCATGACCGCCCACGGATGTTGAACCAGGAGTGGAGGCGCTGTTGCTGCTCCCAGCTGTTGACGGCGTAGTTGTAGTTCTTCCACGGGTCACCACTCGAACGCTAGTAGTATCTGTTTTTCCAGCTTCGTGATCGTGTTCGTCCGCCATTCTGTCTCTGTCTCTCGCACTCACGTTAACGTTATAGACGTTCTCGTCAAATAAGCTTTTTCCTCGTCCTGCTCCAATACCCTTTTTGTTCCCATCACGAAGATCGTCCGCGTAGAAGTTGTTCTCCAGCTGAGGAGAATGATGTGTTCTTGTTGTCGTCTCAGGAGCATCATGATTCAATGTTTCATTCCGCTCGTCTATTCCTTCGTTTTCTGTTGCACTGTCTGTCGGCCCATGGAGCTCCCTCCCCTCAGCGAGTCTTGACAGGCCCTGCGGTAGGAGGGACTCGGGGGCGACAGAGATGTGTCCTCCCACGGTGCTGGGTGTCGCTTGTAGTTCCAACAGATTGGAAGACAAGGTCGAGGTGTTGCTATTGCCCGCTTTATTTCGCTTCGAAGTAGTTCTTCTTGGACTCATCTCCACAGCTCCAACATCCTTTGAAATTGGACCCGCCACGACAACTTGTTCTCCCGGATCATCCTGACTGCGAGCTGCGAAGGCAAACTTTGAAGACCTTCTCCGCTTTTGCTGCCGCTCCAGGAGCGACGAGCGCTTGTGTGATGATATTCTTGCTTTTCTTCTTTGTCCCCGCAAAATAGCCTTCTGGTTGATGTTTCTTCCCGGTGCACCAATGTACTTGCGACCGAGAAGGAGTTCTTCCGACGTCGGACCGTGGGCTTCACTTCGGGGCCGAGCCGCCGCGGCGGTTTTCGCGACATCGCGTATTTGCAAAACACCCAAGAGGCCAAATAGGGAAGATGGAGAAGCCACAAAACAATGCGCCAGAAGATGAAGAACTGCGAACTTCGCACACCGGAGTAGCATGATCATGATCACTTGACGATGGATGTCCTCCGTTTGTTATTGCTTAGAATAGAAACTTTTGAATGTTCATTCATGATCTATCCAGCAATTTACTTCCGTCCTCCTGCTGTGGTGCGGTTATTGATAGACACAGTGGGACTTCAACGCTAACAAGAATGACTGTCTCCGCTCTGGAGGTGCTTTGTCTCGTCGTCGACGTGGTAGAGCGACGGGTAAGAATACGACAAATTTTTCGTAGTGCAAGAAGCAGGTCTCCTAGAACCACGCTTTTTCGCAAGGCACGAAGACCAACTTTTTGTAACCAGAACGAGTCGTACGAACACGATTTACTTCACGATGATAATTTTTCGGACGATCAGCCTACGATAGGAGGAACGAAACAAAAGACCACGCGGTGGACTTCTAAAACTATTTTCTTTTTCGTTTAATTTCCACAAGGAAGACCCTGCCACTGCTGGGCACCGCACGACTTTGACGATGACGCAAAAAAAAACGACGACGCACGACGCGGAGAACAAGCAGAAGCACATGCGTGGTCCGGCAAATGCCGCCGCGCAGTCACCTTCTTGGATTTTTTTTTACATTTTCCAAACCATATGTGCAAATATATCTCAATTCTCGACTTTCATCTTCTTTCCGCCTGACGTAGAACTATACTGAAGTTCCTATCTTTTTACTGTACAGGTCTGTGAGTACCTCTGAGTGGTAAACGAAACAAAAAATATCAACGCGCGATCAGTGATTAATTTTCTCGGTGCAGTTTCGTATATTTCGATCCCGTAGTTGCTGCGAAAGTATGGAACTTGTGTCGCTCTAGACGGACTGGAGTAACAAAGTTCGCGAGCTCTTCCCGCCTCGACGGCTGTACCAGCTTCAATCCTCTCTGTTTTTTCCTATTTTTCGTGAAGTAGAAACACGGTACTGACACACTACATATTTTAGAAGTATACTACACCTGCGTTAGAACACGTGGGCGACATCAACGACATTAAAGTGAAAAGTCCAAAAATTGGTAAATGCTAAAAGTGAAACATTAAAACTGTGGTAAAAAGATCAAGCCTGTAGTACAGCAACAAGTTAGTTGTGAAAATGTAAATTTCTTCATCTTCTTGCAACAGAAACGTAAAAATTCGGTATCGGTGTCAAAACGCGTGTGAACAAGGTGAACAAACAAGAAAATTATGATCGAAAGAGGCTGTTTTTTTGTTTTTTTGCAATTATTTTCTTCTACTCGACAGAACGATAAACGATGAAAGCCACTGGAGGTGGCTGCACGAGCTGATGTTGTGTAGGTGTCATTCTTCTCCCTCGGTGTTGTAAGTGAGATCAATAAAACAAGCTGCAAAAGCTATCCTGAGTAAAAACGTACCCACACCAGAGTCAGGATGAGGATTTTGCAACACAAACCTAGGAGTTTTGTGCGTCACGCATGACAAGTTGCACAATGCAGTGTAGTGCAGGTTAGCAAGCGCAGCCGCATCACAGATTCATCTGCTCATCCTGTTCACAGCATCACAAATTCCAAAACACGACTGGAAATGGCTCTCATGGGGATGCGCATTGCAAGTCTTCCTGTCTTTGCAAATCTGCATTACAACTCTGGTGTGGGTACGTTTTTCCTCAGGATAAAAGCTTTTTACTCATCATCCTCATCGTGATGCCCCTTCTTCTTGTTGCCGTGCTTCTCCGCATGCTCCTTGTTGCTGTGATGCTTGTGCTCGTATCCTGAGTAAAAACGTACCCACACCAGAGTTGTAATGCAGATTTGCAAAGACAGGAAGACTTGCAATGCGCATCCCCATGAGAGCCATTTCCAGTCGTGTTTTGGAATTTGTGACGCTGTGAACAGGATGAGCAGATGAATCTGTGACGCGGCTGCACTTGCTAACCTGCACTACACTGCATAGCGCAACTTGTCATGCGTGACTCACAAAACTCCTAGGTTTGTGTTGCAAAATCCTCATCCTGACTCTGGTGTGGGTACGTTTTTACTCAGGATAGCTCGCCGTTGTGGTTCTTGTCGTGCCCATGATCATGCTCTTCCTCGTGCAGCTCCGCCTCGTGATGCTCCGCATGATTATGATTATGATCCTCTTCGTGCTCCGCCGCATCATGCTCCCCATGTTCCTCATGATCAAGGTCACCGTGGTCCTCCTCCCCATGCTCCCCCTCCCCAATACCCCGCTCAGATGTTACAATCTCACACGTTACAATAGAGTCTGAGATTTGTATTGCATAAACAGCATGAGTACTTACCAGAGAGAAACCTGCGTTTTTCGAAATACAAATTTCGCTACATTTCAGTGCGGTTTGGGGCTCCGGAATTTCTTGTCATGCGCACTCCTGTGCTGGGAGTAGGCCAGATGTTGCACGTTTTGCATGACAAAATCCAGAGGACTCTATTGTAACTATTGAGATTGTAACATCTGAGCAAGTCATATCCCCGTGCCCGTGATTTTTTCCATGCTTGTCCGTCCCATGCCCATGCTTCCCATGTGCTTCGTGATTCTCCTTCCCATGCACATGATGCTGCTTCTTCGGGTGCCCCGCATGCTCTTCATGCTCTTCATCATGCTCCTCGTCGTGGTCATCGGCCGAAGATGGATTATCCCACGAAAAAACTGTTTCACTGTGGTGATTTTGCAAAATCTGCATCATAAGTTACGCATGACACTGAAAATCTGTTATGCGGGATTCCTAAGGGAGAACACAGCTAGAAATCCATTGTCTTGCATGTGTAGCATGACGCACACTTCTGCGATCCATTTTCTGCATCACAAGTTCACAGTGAAACAGTTTTTTCTTGCGATATGGATGCATTGTGTTGTAATACTTCTCCTCACTGTCCTCCGATGCCTTATCCTGTTCAAAAACGTCCCCACCCCATAGTCAACTTGGGAAATCTGCAAGACAAGCCAGCAAGCTTTGGCTGTTGCGCATGACAAGTTTGGCCTCGTAGTGTAAGTAATCCTGTTTGGCAAGTTCGGCAGCATCACAATTCTAGCACATCATGGTGATTGGAGCATTACAAATTCCGCAGCACGACTAGAAAATGCTTCTCATGGGGCTCCGCGTCAGAAACATTTTCAGCATGCAGATTTGCATTACAACAATGGGGTGGGAACGTTTTTACCTAGGATATAATTCGGCGGATGAGTACATCTCGTCCCACTCGCCGTCCTCGTCCGACGAGGGTTCCCACTCTATCGAGAAGAAAAATCCCCCCTCCCCAGATCAAAGCAGACATCTGTGATGCAGATTTGTGGTCACCAATCAGCTCTGTCTTGCAAAAAAGAAGCGGAGGTGCATCCTAGGCCCGTTTAGGTTTCTAGAAGTCTACCTGTCTAGCATGATAGACATTGCTGCTGTAGGCTAAAACGCATCACAGATTGCCTTCCCCGTACTGCCTTTCGCTCTTGCTTCCCAAGTATGCAAGACAAAGGCATAATATGCGTACACAAATCTTCAGCAAGAACACAAATTTATTTCCTGGCGGTACTTTTTCAATATGGGGAAAGGGGATTTTTCCTCGCGATACACTCGATGCATTTGTTCCAGTCCCGGTCCTTCGGATGGCACTCCTCCCACTCGCATCAACAGCAAATATGTCTAGGTCTGGAAACTTGTAATGCTGCGCTGGGTGTAGTGAATGCTCTGTAACGCACAGTCAAGCATGAGAAATATGAAGAATATCTGCGCTTCTTCTTCTTTTTCGCATGACAAACTACGTTTTTGCATGACAGGCAAAAGGGTCGCTTCTTGGACACGCATCACAAACTTTTTGGTCATGCGAGACAAGCATGACAAATCTCGCCATCTTCTAGACCCAGACATTTTTGCATTCGATAACTCGTCGTCATCTTCGTCCCAGTCGTCCTCGTTGTCCTTGCCCCAAGTGTTCTCTGCATTGCAAATACCTCTGGATCTCTGGAAGGTTGCAACTTGTGATGCTGTCGTTGCATTGTAAAAAAATCTGTATTCCATGACCAGCAAGAGGTGTCCAGTTTGTGCAGTACGCGGGGAGGGCGTTTCTCATGCGAAATAAGCATCAGGAAGCCATCTACAGATCTTTGATGCTAAGGTCACGCATTACAGGCAGCATGGGTCATGCAAAATATGCATGACAAACCTGGTTGTAATCTTCCAAACCCAGACATATTTGCAGTGAATAAGAATATGCTCTTGCCCGCTTTGGAACGGTGCTTCTCGTTGTGATGGTGCTTCTTCTCGCGCCACCTCCTCTTTATTGGTGGGGCTTTTTTACCACTCCGACCAGCGGTGGCAGCGCGCTGCTGGTGGGCGTGGATTTGTTTGAGGAGGTCGGGGTTTGCCCTGAAGTAGTTTTCCAGCGAGTCCCTCCCGTTGTGAACACGAGTGTGAGCAGGGGGAGGAGGATGGTGGGGATGATGACGATGGTGGTCGTGCGGGTTGTAAGGTCCTCCGTGTGCTGGAGCACCGTGGAAGTGACCAAGCGGCCCCGCCCTATCGTACGAAAAAAGTGCCTCACTGTAGGGGTTTAATGCAACTTTTGGCTCACAACCTTGCTCTACATGACAGAGAAAATTTGTTCCCATGCGAGGAGGGCGGTAGGTAACCACGGCTAGAAATCCATTTTCTTGCACGTGTAGTAGCAAAACAAACACATATATAAACACAGAGGTTATTTCCTCTTCTGCGCTTTACAGTGAAACGTTTTTTTTTGCGATATTCTCCGTGTCGGGCATAGTGCCGGCCAGGAGACAGTCCCCCCTGCACGTGCCCGGCGTGACGCCCTCCGTGGTTCCCTCTACTTCCGCCATACATGGCCATGTTGCCATGTGTATGCATTGCAAATGTGTCTGGGTCTGGAAGATGCCATGCTGTTTTTGCATGACACGGAAGGTCTGGCATGGCAGCCCTAGCATCACACATTTCGAGAAGGTTCTGCAATGCCTAATCCGCATGACAAATCCCCCACTTTGGTGACAAGATGAAGTGGGCATCTTTTGCTGCCTACGCATGAGAGATTTCTGTGTGTTGTGAAATGCGCATCACAACTTCACATCCTTCCAGACCCAGAGATTTTTGCATTTGATAATGTGCAGCAACACCACCCCCCAGGTGGCCTCCGGGTCCGTGCAAAGGGCGTGGTCCACCGCGCGGCGGAATCCTGCTCGCCGGCGTCGGCGAGGAGGGGCGCGGTTTGTTTGGCCCGAGGTGGCTCTCTGCCCTCTTACCGTCACGACGCTTTTGTCGTTCCCCCTCCCGTTGTTCCCGACTCTTGTTCGGTTTTTTATTTTCGCTTGATCTTTTTCTTTTCCGGTCTCGATCTTCATCCCCAGGCGGTTTTTCTGTCCTTTTCCTCTTGTGGCCGGAACCGTCTTTCTTCTTGCTTTTCTTCTTGTCGTTCCCCCCTAAGTTGTCCGTGCTCCGCTCGAACCGTTGCAGGGCTGAAAAATGGTCTGAAAAAGCAGCCGGCAAGCGAGATGAGTGCTCTTCTCCGCGTTCAGGGTCATCATTTTTCTGCTGCATTAACGGCACTTCTTCATGTTCATCCGCAAATTCCGCATAACTTCCGACGTGAAGCTGCAAAGCCTCCAACGGATCCAAATGGTTCCTCGACACTGCACTTCTTGCTGTTTTTCCTTCCGGCGCCCCACGGCTTCCTGGTTGTGACCCTGCGGCGGATGCTGCTGCCTCCTCGTCCCAGAGATCTTCTTCGTCATCTTGGTCGTCGTGTTTGAAAAATCCCGAGGGGGAGGCCAATAAAACTGCTCCTGTGGTAGTTTTAACCTTCTGTTGTAGTTCCAGAAAACTATCCTGTATCAAAGTGAAAAAAGCCCCCACCCCATATCGGAAACGGGAGATGCGCGAATTTGTGATGCTGTATTTTTTTTTTTTTTTTTTTTTTTTTTTTTTTTTTTTTTTTTTTTTTTTTTTTTTTTTTTTTTTTTTTTTTTTTTTTTTTTTTTTTTTTTTTTTTTTGCCTGCGGGAGCGGATCATTGCCCTTTTTAGACGGGCTAACCAGAAGAATCTATCATCATCATCATCAAAAAAAAGAAATAACGAATCAAAATCGAACATGCAAAAGGGTAGGCACCCCCCTAAAAGATGTCGCAAGCACTACGTGAGCGAAGGCAGTGCTTGTAGAAATCCAGCCGCTTGGAAATGCTACTGCTAGAGTCAAAGTGCCCCCTCATATAAACTGGGACTGGGACACATGACTGTGGGTTCATGACAAAAACTAGCATTTTAGTAGCAGAGCCTTCCACTCAGTAGGGCACCCAAATGCTATGCGCATGCTGACGGAGGAGACTTACTCCTATTTGGTTCGCATTTGGGTAAAGGATAATAGAGCACTCCATACATAATTCGACATCTTTCCTCCACTATTGAAAATCTAGCCTCCGCCCCCAGTAGAATCTACCGCCGTCGGTCTGGACGACACTCAACCACCCAGGGACGGCCGTTGCTGCATTGGTGGGAGCGTCCTTGGCTCGTTCTTCTGGGCTTGACGGGTGCGAGATGCGCAATAGCGTGCTTTCCCCAGTTGCATGTCTTTTCCTAGTCTTAAAAAAAAAACAAAGGCGCAAGCTATCTAATGACTCCCGGGGGTGTGATGGGATAACTTCATCGTTGGAAAGTCAGTGCACTGCATGTTCCTCTGAGAAATCTACTGGACCTCGAAAGGCCGGCGCTAGGGTCTATGAAGAGGCGCTCGCTCTTCCAGCACATCCACTTTTGTGGAGACCCATGCAAAAATAGGCACTTTGTGAAAATCCATGGAGCATATAGAACGTCAAGCGGGAAGATGAGTATGTGTAAAGCATCGACAACTTAGGCCATCCCAGCGCACTCTGACCTCACTTACTTTCCCGTCCAGCCCTTGCAAAACTTACCCACTCATAATCGGCGCAGAATCCTTATCAGAGAGCACTTTCTTGCGGACCTCAGAAAGTAGCCTATTGAGTCTGATCCTGCCCTGCGTCTCTCTGCGATGGCTTTGCTTTTCTCCTTCGCAGGCCTTTAGGGTTTCTTCTTCTTATTTTCTCCTCTTCTCTTTTCCGTCGCCCCGGTTCCAGATCCTGCTGCTCCTCCTTCATCTCGTTCGGCGCCGCTCCACTCTGTATTTGAGTACACAAATCGACTTGTATTGCTAGAAGGCCAAGAGACGAAGCTGCGGCCTAAATTGCAGGTAATCTGTCATGCTGTTTCCCACTTTCAGTTGCCTCCTGTCATCCTGGAGCTGCAAGGCTTTCCCACGCTAGACAGCACTACAGTCCGCATCTTTTGCCTTCTAGCATCACAAAGCTGATTTGTGACCCCAAATCTGCATCACAGATTTCCGTTTTGATATGGGGAGGGGGCATTTTTCATTGTAATATCCTGCTGTTCGTCCTTTGAAGAGGGCTGCACCACCATCAGTTGCTTGTCGCGCCTGTTTATCAAATGCAAAAATGTCTGGGTCTGGAAGATTGCGAGGTTTGTCATGCTTCTCTGGCATGACAAAAAAGTTTGTGATGCGTGTCCAAGAAGAGACCCTTTTGTCCTGTCATGCAAAAACGCAGTTTCTCATGCGAAAAACGCAACACAAAGAACTGCGAATATTTCTCATGCTTGGCTGCGCATTACAGAGTGAGCATTCACTATTCCCAACACAGCATTACAAGTTTCCAGACCCAGACATTTTTACAACCCATACCGGTCGGATCATCCTCTTTCGTGTAAAAGAAAATCTCACCATCAGAAGTTCTCGTCGCCGCGTGGTCTTCCGGTCGTGTCTGTGTCTGTGTCTATCAAATGTAAAAATGTCTGGGTCTGGAAGATTCTGACACTTGTCATGCACGTTTTGCATGAGCCCTGATGTCTGTGATGCATGCCCTAGCATCACAGTTTTTTTGAGAGCTTCTTGATGCCTATTCCGAATGACAAATGCCCTCTCCGCGTAGCAAGAATTACATTCCCTTATGGTACTCATGCAATACAGATTTTTTTGGAATCCAAATGCAGCATCACAAGTTGCATTCTTCCAGACCCAGACATTTTTACATTTGATAGTGTCCCAGAGCTCACTATTTCCGCTTCCGGAGTCAACTCTACTAGTAGTTCTTGTTGGACGGGGTAGTTCTTGGTATTCTTCTTGGTAATTCTTTCGGAAAAAGACGATTTTCCACTTGAAGAGGTTGCTCGCAGCGAAGAAGATTTTGATGCTGTTTTTCTTGTTGATTCCCTATTGTTTTCCTTTTCCTCTTCGACGCTTGAACTCCGCCCTCCGACATAGGAAGCTACAACCTCCGCGCAACACCTGCTACTGCCTGCCTGGTTGTAGTCGAGGTAGGAGCGGAGCAAAAGCAGGCCGAGTTGTGGATACAACCAGGCCATGGAAACTCGTCGTTGTTGTCGCCGTATGGATTGTAAAAATGTCTGGGTCTGGAAACTTGTGATGCTGGGTGGCGTATCATGAGGAGGCCGCAAGTGCTGGCTCAGCATGACAAGTTTCTGAGCTTCTATATGATGCCTATTCCGCATGACGAAGACAAGCTGCGTTTTTGCATGACAGAAAAGTGGGGCTCTTGACAAACTTGCATTCTTCCAGACCCAGACATTTTTACAGTTGATACGCCGCGTTGATGTAGTACATCCACTTCCGGTAGCAGTAGCAGGATCATCGTGATTATTAGAACTAGTACCAGGTGCAACATCTTCAAGATCCTCGTCTTTTGGCCCGGCCAAAACCTGAGTGGCAGTTATTTTTGTCGAGGAGGATGCTGAATTACTGCCAGACGGTGAAGTAGTTGTAGTTCTGCCTGTCAGTCTACCACAAAATAAACCTCGCGCCGAAGATACCGCCAGCGATGTGCGGCCTACTTCTTCCTGTTCTTCTTGTTCGCACACTCGAACCATTGTCGCTGCGCAGCTTCAAGTGCTGAAAGTCGAACTGGCGAGGTGGACAGTGCGAGATTGCAGCTGTTCGCGTGTGTTGTAAACCTACGGGTGCCAACTCAGAAAGTCGTCGCACGTCTTCCGCTGTTCTGAAGAAAAGTTTCGAGCGACTAAGTGCCTCAATCCGTTCAATCCGGCTGCTGCAGTTCTACTCCGTGATCGGCTCAATCCGTTCAATCCGGCTGCTGCAGTTCTACTCCGTGATCGGCTGGCTGGAAACCTGGAACGGCATTCGGTGGTATACATAGGATTTAGGACGAAGTTGTTGTCTTGTTTCAGCTTGCAACGCCATCCGCTACTTCTGTTTGTGTTGCGAGTTTCACATCATCCATGAAATTCTTCATGCAAAAAACTCATTACTAATCTATCAGGTTCGACCCTGCGGTTGAAGTTGGTGCAGCTTCTCTGACCGACTACTCCGGTTCCTGGTTTTACGACCTTGGTGGCGGCACGGGCCACGCCAGACCCGGCTTCACCGGCACCCAGTGGCGCCTCAAAGCCGATGACTCGGTCGACTGCTGGCAGGTGTACTCCCTGGAGCTCTTCCTGGATTCCGTATGACACCCTCAGAATGGAAATCCTCAAAGCGGAAATAATTTGTGATGCATGAAATGCGACACCAAAAAGACTGCATTGCAGAGAATGCAATGGAGGCCGACTATTGTGCATGTACGGGTTCAGAATTGAGCTCCTGATTAGCATGAGACGAGGGCACGCCTTTGCCTAACTAGCATGACAGACACGTTTTGAGTGCCCGGGAAATTTGTCATGCGCCGACTATAAATGGTGCTCCAACTGGAGTCGTTTTTTTGCATTACAAATGTTTTCCACTTTGAGGATTTCCAACCTGAGGCTTTCATATTCCGAGTGCAAGCCGGAGAAGGAGGTGAAGTTTCTGACCGATAACGGCGCGAGGAATCCGTATGAACTGTAAAAATGTCTGGGTCTGGAAGATTGCAACTTGTAATGCTGTCTGCGGATTTTAAAAATATCTGTGTTGCATGGGGAGCAAGGGGAGTCAGATCGTGGCACACGAAGAGGGCATTTCTCATGCGTAATCAGCATCAAGAAGCTCTCAAAAAATCTGTGATGCTAGCACCAGCATCACAGGCCTCACGGGTCATGCAAAATGTGCATGACAAGCCCCGACTCTTCCAGACCCAGACATTTTTGCAGTTGATAATCCGAACGTGAAAGCGATCGGCTCTGGTCACGTGAAAGGGTCGGAATTAACCGCGTACGTTCAAAGAAACGAATGCCGGCAAAATAATAAAGCTGCCTAAGGAAAACGAATTGATCATTGCCACACCATCAATCCGTTCAATCCGGCTGCTGCAGTCCTACTCCGTGGTCTGCTGCTGTCGCTATCAAATGTAAAAATGTCTGGGTCTGGAAACCTGTGATGCTGGGTGGCGTCTCATGATGAGGCTACAAATGCTGGCTCAGCATGACAAGTTTCTGAGCTCCTAAGTGTTGCCTATTCTGCATGACAAACTGCGCTTCTGCATCACAGAAAAACGGAGCTCTTGGGTAACGTGCATGACAGATTTAAGAGTCATGCCAGACAAGCATGACAAACATGAATTCTTCCAGACCCAGACATTTTTACAGTTGATAGTCGCGATAAAACGACTCCTCCACAAGTGAGGAAGCTGCGTCTGAGTTGGGCTTCTAAGGCGAATCTTCATTGTCATGACGTTTTGGTATTTATTTCTCTAGTTCTTTTCGTTTTGTATTTGTACTTCTCAAATCTTGTATTCCTTCAAATTCAAAAGAAAATTGTAATTGGCTACAGAAGATCGGCCCACAAAATAAACCTCGTCACGATCGGTTGCAACGACAATGAAGATGAACGAGCGACTACATACAATGCTTCTACGAAAGACGAAGAGCACTTGCTGCTACAACTGCCCCTCCCGAAAACGATTTTTTGCTACTAAGTGCTGAACGATGAGACGACGAGAGAAAGATCTGGAATTCGATTTCAGATTCGGTCGGTGGATCAAGTGCTGCTACTGGAACGTTCTGCCTAGTATAAAACTACGAATGGGCCATTTTCAAATGTCAAAAACCGAAAATATCTTCGCAGCTGGTGCAGCAGGTACTTATGATGAGTCCGCACGCGGCCTTTTGGATTAACGACACCTGCACGTTCGTTATTTTGATGATTGTTCTACAATTTGTTCTGCAAATACGACGACCACACTCCCTTGACAAGACTTTTTCTCGGAGCGTGGGGAGAAGACGGCAAGTAGTCGACCTGCCTCCACATATGATGTTCTAATACATAGTACGACGACTTCCATCCCAGACGCAACGACGACTTCTTCAAAGAAGCTCTAACGAAGAACACTCGGAAGAACCCTTGTGTTTCTACTTCCTTCCCGACGATAAGGATCAAGTCCGCTTCTCGAACCTTGAGCACGGTGTCGACAGCATGACCTGTCATTCTGTCGATAGGAAGTTGCACAAGGGGGTGGAGCAATATTTTTCTCCGGTCGTACGACTTCTCCTTTTTCTTCATCTTGACGCGGCAAATTCTTCAATATACACACGGCACAGTAGTTCCTCGCGTCTTTTTCGCTCCTCCTCGAGGTGAATATTTATGCTGGACCATTCCTCGTATATAAGCTGGCTTTCACAAGTCGACATTGGAGTTATTCGACTTTCAAAGCGCAAGGCCACCACAAAGCAGCTGTGTGATTTATCGCCTTGCGCTTGTTGCTTGCACTACTTCAGAATCTTACGTGGACTTTTTCAGGAAAATGAGAGTGGGACTTGCGTTGCGCTTTTTTGGCTTGCGCGACACCGTCGATCGCGATTGCGATAAGTAGTTCTTGCAGATTCCATAGTAAACGAGACTCTCGTAAAAAAGCATGCTGGTGTACCACAACAACCGATTTCTAACTACAACACCAGCATATCCGGCCCCCGGACCCACGCTTCGAACTCATCCTGGCTGATGATGCCGTCGTCTCGGAAGTCCATGCTCTATGCATTGCAAAAGCATCGTACTCGTAGTAATTGCAATCATGCATTTTTTTTCTTGAGGTAAACCGGCATAACAAATTTTATTTCTCATGCTGAGGAAATTTGTAATGCACTTATGCGAGTACGATACTTCTGCACAGCATACGCTCATGCCGGCGACAATGTAATTGAGCTCTTCGTCCTTGAATGTTACAGCTGTTTTCGTTTTTTCATTTGCTCCAAGGTACCACTGTTGTCGACGCATCATGACCAGTGATTTCCCATGCTGCAAGCAAAGAAGTTATCACCAAGTTATTTTGTTTTCTCATGCAACGAAGGAAAGCAAAACGAAAGGAACTGATAGAAAGATACTTGTTAATGCGCTGGCGAGGTCCCGGAGCTGGATTTTTGACATGGCAGGATCCATTGGAAAGCATTGAGAGTCACGTGACAGACGTGGTCTATCCATGTGGCTACTTCTCTCCTGGATGCTGCTCGTACTTTTTCGCTTCGGATCATGACAAAGTTCATCCGCTGTGTAGCTTTCTTACGCATGACAGACCTCTTCACCTCCGTCATCGTGACTCAAGAGCAGAATTCATTCCCATATCCATTTGGTGGAATGTATGCGCCCCACTGTTCCGGACCCTGGTCCAAGATTTTCTTTCGCACCGCCTCCAGGTTCTTACTCAGCTTGATTCCGTAGAAGATACCTTGATGGGTTCTTGTACATCAAATTCGTACATACTGTAGGCAATGTCTTGTCGTTGAAATATGCTATGCAGTCTTACCAGCATGATGAAGGAACATCAAAATTGTTCATAACAAAGTACTGTAAGACGCCACTCCCATAATGTAACCGCCTAGCACCCAATCGGCATCGGATGGAAAAACGGCGCTAGCGCATGTCTGAAGGACTTGTCATGCGGTGGTCGTGCACACTGGTAATAGTGGCGTACTATCAAGCATTGACGTTTGCCTCTTCAGGCCTTGAAGCATCACAAAAGCTATTGCAGTTAGAACTTCTGCATCACATCGGAGGTCTACGGGCTGTTCGTCCCTTTGCCGTTCAGAGGCCTACTAAACTGGTAAATGCTAAGCTACTACGTAACGTAAACTTCTACTGAGAAACTAAGTAAATCGGAAATAAACTTAGTACTGCTACTCATAGTTAAGCGTTTGTAAATACGTATGGAAATAAATTCTCAAGGCCTTTCGTAAGACGAGCGGTAGCGGTAGAAGCAAAAGGGGCTGGCGCGCGAAAAGGCAGGCACAACGTGCAACATGGGACCGGACCCATGCTGCGCGAAGGCGTAGACACGCAGCGAGTGTCTACGTAGATCGAACATGATGCACAGCCCTGGAGGTCCTTATGCATGCAGGGACGAAGCACAGGGGAGGGGCCTCAAGCAAGGCCCCTGCTGCGCTAATCCGGACCGATTCAACAGCAAAAAGCTGTTGCGTCCCCCAGCGGCATACAGGTGCTCCGGCACACGAGAGCTGCGTCCACCCAAACCAGCAACCAGGGCGGCGCCTCCACCTGGTTTGGGAGCTCTCGTATGCAAGCATCATAAACAAACCTAATTTTCTCCGCCCTAGCAGCGCTAGCAGCGCTAGCAATTATTTTCTCCGCCCTAGCAGCGCTAGCAATAATTTTTTCCGATCCATATCCGAGTGCTGGTAGTATGTCGTTGTCGTAGAGCGCACCGACTGTGATGCTGCCCAGAAAAAGGTACCTGATGGAAATTTGTCATGAATTTGTCATGCAGAACCGCACAAAGATAGCCTCGGTTGTCATGCAGCAATTGCAATGGCATATACAGAGCATCAAAATCTGTAGACTTACCATATTCCCCTGCCGACAAATCTCGTCATGAAGAGTGCGTAGTAGAGCAATGCCGCTCGAAATCCAGGGAAAGAAAGCGCGCTTTAGTGTACTACAAATTCGTGCGATCAGCAGTACTTATTCGAGTTGTGCTTACCTACGTAAAAACTGGCTCCCTGACATGACAAGCATGTAACGCGAATGATGTTTTGCATGTTTTACAGGCTACAGATTTAGGTGTTCAACACTGGCACGCTCTTTCCCACTTCGATAAGCGGAATCCTCTAAGAAAGGGTGTCTCGTTTGGTGCATCCATCGCCATCATTATCAGCCCGAATATTGTCAGGAAGACCTGAAAAGTGGAAGTTTTAGAAGTCTTGTTTTTGATGTGTTTTTTGCATGACAGAAATCTTTCCTCTTCGGGAAGTATTTCGCATGACAAACAATACACGAAAGAATCCTCTATCAAATATACGATACGTAATTGATGAAGTCGAAGGGTGGCCTCATGTTTGTCGCGGCGACGACAATCGATAGTATCCCCGAGAACGTTACTATTGATGCGGAGGTGAAGAACATGAACTTAAACATCCCGCCGAACTTCCCCCGCACTCCTTCCAGGAGCTCCTTGCCCTTCTCCGTCGTCGCAACTTGCTGATACATCTTGGCAGCTGCGATAGTTCTTCACTACTATCGATACTAAAAGTTTAAAATGTTCAAAGGATTGATGGTGGATTGTGAAAGTAGCTTGTCCTCACATTATTAACGTACAGAAGTAGCAACTCAGTCACGCCGGTAGGACGTAGGAGGTACATTCATAAGTTCTCGGCGTGTTCGTATTTCTTTATTTACTCAGCTTTTAGTATGTACTCGTGATCTTAGATTTAGTGACATCTTCACTCGAATCCGGTGCGTTGTTTCAGGGTGGGCGTGGTGAGGATCAAACATCGTTCAACCCCAGCGCTTCGTCAACTACATCTCAGGTCGCGGCTGCACAAGAGGAATTCACAGCAGCAGCAAGCCAGATGCGGCGGGAGTCGATGGCTCAGGACTAGGATTACGAGAAACAGCAGAGTAAGTAACCTTGGAACTTGCAATGGAGTGAACACTCGTGCAGCTGCATAGTTGAAATGAAGCCTACTAAACCTTCCATCTCCTGCTGTCGTGCAATCGCAGCTGTTCTAGGATAATTTTCGGTTCTGCTATCACCTCTTTACTTCGAGTAAAGTGAAGTGACTCGCGTTATCTACTAAATCCATTTCGCTTTCAACTTTTCTTCCAGCCACTGCAAGCAGTCAGTCGCTTTCAACTTCACATCTAACTCTTTCACAGCGTCGAATTCTAGATAGGCATACCCAAGTTTCTCCGCGATTTTTCGCTTCAGACAGTTCTCCCCGATTTGAAGCCGCCGGGTGGTAGAAGTTGTTGGCATAGTAGAAGAAGGACAACTATCCAGAAGAGAAAAGTAGTGCTCTGGGCCATTGACTTCGATACACAGCTTTCCGTTCACCACTAAGTCGACGAAAAACTCGGGTTGAATCACTACACGGTTGTTCTTTATTTCCAGATTCGACAATGAAGAAGATTTTCTTTCTCCTGCAGAGCGATTATCAACATCTTTTTGCAGGACGGCTTTCCGCTGTTGTTGAAAGAGCGGCACTTCGTTCTCGATGCGGTTGATTTCAAAAGAAGAAGATTTTTTTCCCCTACAACTAACTTGACCGAGCTCCTGGATTTTCCGCCGCAACAAGTCGTGCGTCGTGCTGGATTTTGGAGAAGGGTTTTGCGGCAAGGAGGACGGAATCTTCGGCACAGGAGCTGCTTTCTTGTTCTCTCTGTTTCCTACTTGACTGTAGGCACCGAGTTCGGCTTCCTCGTCCACCCCCGCGATTAATTCGGGATACAGCACGCTGCAGGCCAGGTACGCCCGGTACGCTTGGTGCAGGGAATGCGAGGCTTCCTCGTTGGAAACGCGGAGATGATTGGAACAACTCTTCGTCTTGCCATTCTTCAAAAGCACCTCAGTTCTTATTTCCTCTTCTGGAGTAGCGAGTGCTCCGATTTCGTCCTGTAGCGGGGAAACGACAAAACTCGAAAACAGCTGTCGGAACACGGTCTGCAGCAGGGCCGGGTGTTCCTGCAACAGCTTCCGAATTTCTCCGCTTTTATCCATCGCCGCCAGAGTTACCAGCACCATCGCGACGGGGCCGCCGAGATCGTCGGCATGGAGACAAGACTTGGTCGCCGGGTGTTGCTTCTTGCGCGTTTGTTCCTTTTCAGGTAAAGTTGTGACAGCTGAGGCCGGTCCGGAAGTAGATGAAGTTGCCACAAGAAGCAGGCTTTCAACCATCTCCAACACAAATTTTCGCACAAGAAGCTTCTTCTCATTCTGCTGCACTGCACTGAGCTCGTTGCTATCCGAGGACACCACGACCCCGCCTCCTTCCAACTCAACAGAGCAACACCGGGCGATTGCCTGCAACGCGAAAAGTCGCAAGAGAATGTCTTGGTCCGAGAGCAACAGAGAGGAGGTCTTCATTTGTTCATATGACATCTTCGCATTCCTCTCTATCGACTCCGCGGAGGTCCTCGTGGTTTTCTGAATCAGCAACTCCAACAAATCTTTTCTCACCACCGTCGCCCGTTTGCAGACGTACCACAAAGCGCTGATGTGGCGGGGGTCTGTTACTGCGTGTAACGCGCTCCTCCTGTGTTTTTCTTCTTGATTGCCGTAGTAGTTCATCCCGTGTGGGATAATTGCAGTACCATCACCACGAGGTAAACTACGCGGGTCTAACAGTTCCACCAAAAGCTGGTCCATTCCGCCGATGACGCACAACGCCCACGAAAGGTTCGCCAAGTGTTGTGGTTTCTTGATGCGTAGAAAATGTTGATTGGCGCAAGGGCTGGAATTAGATTTTATTGTTGAGTTGCAATTTGGATAATGTCCGCTTTGCCGTTTACCTGCCAGCGCGTTTGCAACCTCTTTCAGCAATCTTGTCTCCCTCAACAGCTGTCGGTTTTTTAAAGTTCTGCTGCTAAATTCCCCGAAATCGTTCATGAGCTTCGCGGTAGAATAGAGAAACTGCGACAAGGCCGCCTCATCCTGCAAAAATTGCTGCACAATCGGTTGCTGATTTAACTGAACTTTCAAAAAAGTCTCGTACGAAGTTGCAGTAGCAGTGGTCGTAGTTTTCTGGTCTTTTACTACTGGCTCGTAGTTCTGGTGCTCACAACTGAAACTTTTGCTGCCGGCCCTGTTCGTGCTCGTCGTCGACAAATTTTTAGGCGTGGCGGTCGCATAAACCCAAACCAAGTTTGCCACTGCGCGGGCGTTCAGACTGGTTGTTGTCAACATCATGGTAGAAGGTTGTAGTCCTGTCGCAGATGTTGATTGCTGGAAAAAGACAACCTCGCACCAACTTTTTGCCAAGTGGAATTTCTCCATTTTCACCAGCGACCAGGCAATAGACCCGATTTCCTGAGAACCTAAATTAGGCGTATTTATTTTCATCGTCGGTCCGCTGATGTGCGGCCCCGTCTGCTGTTGTAGCCGGTGGAAGCATTCTTTTACCAGGTGAGTTTGAAAAAAACCATTCTCGTCGTTGTGCCCAAGATTTTTACAAGTCGTGGCCTCATCATAAAGATCTTCTCTTGAGTATCAAAATGAAAAATCCCCCCTCCCCATATCAAAACGGAAATCTGTGATGCTGATTTGTGGCCACAGATCAGCTTTGTATTGCACAGAGGCACTGCGGCCAGATCCCCAGGCTAGGTAGGGGCGTATGGGCGTAGTAGTTCAGCATGGAAAACGGCCCCCCTGTAGGCCAGACAGCATGACAAATCGCTTCCATAATGGGGCGGAAGCTTCTGCCCTTGTCTTCTTGCAAGACAGATGTGATTTGTGACCTCAAATCCGCAACACAAATTTTTGGAAACATACCTTTTCAATATGGGGAGGGGGGATTTTTCCTCTCAATATTGAGTGATTTTTCCCCTTCAGTTTCGCGTGGGCAACACAGAGCTGCGACAGGGACTCGTTGGACGCGTCTGCTAGGAGTGTAGTTGTACGTCTTTGTTTCACCGCGTCATTCTTTGCGTCAGCCACTCGTTTTGTTCCACCTACTTTCTGATGAAAGCGGAACGCATTCTCCACACTCTGCCAGAACCTCTCCAGAGTGTGTTCCGCCGATTTTCGCTTGCCACGAGCACACGCGGCGGCTATCCCGGAGCAGCCAGATGCTGTATTACAGTTACAAAGGACAGGAGACCATAGAGAAGCCTCACCACGCAAGTTGTTGTAGGCAAAATGTTCATGTCCACCGACCTTATCATGACCACATTTATCATATCATACAAGCTTGCATCAAGCTCCTGAAGATCTCCTGTTATCCTGAGTAAAAACGCACCCACACCAGAGTCAGGATGGGGATTTTGCAACACAAACCTAGGAGTTTTAGGAGTCACGCATGACAAGTTTCAGTCCGTAAGGTAGTGCAAGTTAGCAAGGAAAGCCGCATCACAAAGCGACCGTCTGATCCTGTTTACAGCACTACAAGTTCCCAAACACGATTGAAAATGCCTGTCATGGGGTTGCGCATCACAAATGTTCCTGTCGTGGCAAATCTGCATTACAACTCTGGTGTGGGTACGTTTTTACTCCGGATACCTGTCCCTTTATCCTCATCTTCCTACCTACCTCCTCGCACAGCACCGTGGCGACGCTCCAGCAAATGAGGGAAATCTGCTGGGGAATGAAGTGCTTCTTGCTAAAATCCACTTTATGGAGCACTTCCTCCTCGAAAATCGACCGGACGGCCGTGTGGAAGGAGATAGATTGGTGTCGTGTGGCGGTGGAAGCATGATTAGTACTACACGTTGGTGTGGTAGAACGAGAACCGTCGTTAGAGGTTTGTTCCCGTGGTTCTGCGTCGTCTTTGTCAGGATCCACGAGACGCCCGCTTGTTTGTTCCGTTGAAAGAAGACCACGATCATTCATCAGATTCTCCTCAATCGTGTAAATCTTGGCCAAACTCGATAATATCAACGACATCGCCTTCGGCATCATTTCGTCCATCTGCAATCTGCTTTTCACTTCTGATAGGAGTGACAAATGTGGTGGCGGAATAATACCAGTTCCAGTGCCACCAGTTCCGCCCGGGGAAGCACCATCCCCGCTCGTTGATCCTTCCCCCGGTGATAGTGATCCCGCAGCGAAAAAACCGTACAAATGCGCATACCCGTTCAGCAGTTGCGCCAGTCCGACTTCGGAAAAAAAAACACTCCCGTCGCTTTTCGTCCGTCGCAACTCCTGGATTTCCAGCTTTTCGTCTCTTGTCCGCTTTTTCTGGGACCAAATCTCGGAGGAGGGGATTGTGGTATTGTCTTCTCTCTGATGTTGCTGGCGCTTCATCTGCTCTTGTTCTTCGACACAAGATCTAGCAAGGCCGGAACCTGTCGCATCCTCCCGCTTGATGTAGTTCCCGACTTTTTCAAAAATGTTCGCGTGGAAGAAGTTTAGAAGCTGTTGCACCTGAGAGAAGAGCTTTAGTCGTCGATTCTGGTCACTGCAAGAGGAGCTGTCCCGCACTGATCCGCCCACGTCTGCACCAACAACGTCTGAGGAGTGATTCTCCTTGTCCTTGCGGAATTGCACTGCTCCAAACTCGTGACTCATCTCTTCGTGCCTCCTGCTCTTTCCGTGCTTCATCAGGATCTTCCCTAGCGCGTAAACGATGTTGCACACACACCGCGGGTCGGTAGCGAGCTTCGTTTGTGTTGCAGGTAGGAAGCCGTCGCCGCTGGTAGAAGCCCCCGTGGACTTGTTACACCTGACGAACTCATTCATCAGCTTCTCCACCAGTTTCGTTGTTGACTCCAGAATCCTCTGCTGTATGACAGCATTGGAAGGCCCGTTGCTTTCCGACGCAACACCAGGGCCGTTCTGGTTCTTGGGCAGAGTAGTTGCAGAAGATGAGGAAGCAGCAAAAGAACAGTTCTTTTCCTTGTTTTTCACATGATGCCCCGGGCGGTCGCGCTCGCGCCCTACGTTATTTGTACTGTCTGAAAACGTTGCGAGCTTCACCAATAACGTCGCAATGTGCACTTCGTCCAACTGCTTTTGCAAATCGGTGTCGCCGACGAAGCAGTCGTCGAGAATGGAAAAAACGTCGTCGACATTCCCCGTGTTCTGGATTCTATTTTGCAACTTCGCGGATTGGAGGACGTTGTTTGTGAAATTCGTATCCGAGGGAATAAACAACGGCTGACGCTGTTGTTCTGTGACTCTACTTCGTCTTCTTTCTAGGGGAGCGGCACTGGTCATAGTTCTGGCGAGAGCTGAAAAACCGCACGTGCTACTTCTACTTTCCGGAGAAATAGTAACTGCATTCACACCACGACTCAAATGCTTCGCTCTCCGCAAGTTTGTTGCTGACGCAAAAAGCCCATCGAGCACGGCCGGCACTAGAGGAGTGGAGCGCTGGCTGGGAGGTGCTATGAGTGGTCGTGATGCAGAGGCTGCAATACAAGCGCCGCTTGCTGTCATCCGCTCCCCTAGAAAGAAGTAGTCTCGTAGTGAAACACGCGTCGCCAGCACGGTTGTTCTATTTTCATACGCCTTTCTCTTCCACGCGTTTTTCTGGCCGTGTGTTGACGATGACGCGGGCGCATCATTACAGTCCACCAGCACGGAAACATAGTCGGACTTATTCAGCTTCTTTTTCGTCTTCGCCTTGAAAGGCTGATGTTTCAGCAAGGACTGCTGCTGCTGCTCTGGTGCAACGCCGGAAAAACCTGAAGGCGTGACCTTCTTGGTGGTTTTGTCGCTAGTGGCACTGGCAAAACCAATTTGATTTTCCGCCACCCTGGCCACACCGAAATGCCGTCGGGCACACGTTCGGAACAGAAAGTTCCTGCTCCGAGCATATTTCTGCTGGATCGACGAGGGCAGCACGCTCGTGGAGAGCATCATGGTATGATCCAGGGGTACGAGGCTGCTCCGAAATATGAGTATGAACAATGCACTTTGACTTTCATTTCCTTCATCACTAACGCTATCAACATTTTCTTTTCCCTTTTATTCATTCGGTCTACAACTACATGACAAAAGCAGCGTCAGCTGGTTTTTATGCGTCCTGGCGTCACCTTATGTACTGATCTTCCGCATTTCTACTACATCGATCGATAACAAGTTTCTTTTTGGAACAACTGTCCAGATCTTCCTTCTCCTTTGGCCAGAAAACAGGCAGATGATGATCTCGTTATCGCATCGGACCCGCAGTTACCTTCCGAAGAGGATCAGGACTTCCTTTGGCGCACTTGATATCGTTAGTTATCGCGTCCAAGGGAAATACAGATCTTCGCCGCGGCAGCAATCCATCCTCACTTACCGTTAACGAGCGGAAGATGAAAACACGCTTCACGATGCAATCACCAACGAAAAAGTAGACTGTGCACCAATGGTTCTCTTGATGCGTTTGATCCATCGCTGTGACCGGAACTACGTGAACGAACTTTCTCTTGATCTTGCCACATCAACACATAAACCGTCAGGATCATCTGCTTTGAACCGATTCGCACACACACTGGACAATCGGGCACAAACACCACAAAAAAACTCACACAGCGTCTACGGGACTTCCCGCAAGCTCAGTCACATTTCGGCTCGGATTGTTCTTGTAGGTGTCGTTAGAATACTCTCAGTTTTGAAAAGAACTTTCTCTTTCGCCCGTCTTTATTTCTAGCTTCTTTCTTCATGATGGTCGAGAAAGTGAGTTTTTCGACCACATAACTCATCGTCGCCTTCTTCTACTATCATCTCGCTTGTAATTATCGCCGCCCCGGCTCCTTCTTCTGCTATCGCGATCTCTTCCCCTGTCTCGCTCCCGTTCCCTTTCCCGACCCTGCTCCCGACTCCGACTGCTGCTCTGGTCGTACCCATTCCCCGGCCTATTCCGGCTCGGCTGATTTCCCCCTGCGGCTGCCGGTCCGGGTAAAGACCCCCCCGCTGCGGCTTGCTGCTGCATACTATTACTGACCGGTGGCGGCGGCGCGTGGTACCCAGAAACTGTTCCTGGCTGCTGCACTATCCGACTGGTGATTCCGGTAGAAGTTGTATTTCCCGCATTATTTCCACCCGAGAAGCCAGATACTGGCAGCACATTCAGATTCATGTTACCTCCTTTCCCACCAGTTCCACCCCCCGCACCACCGGGATTCGCGGCGAAAAAGGGGTTGATCCCCGGCTTCCCGCTTTTCCCGCCTTTCTTCCCGCCTTTAGAATTGTTCGCCGGCCCAACCATATTCGCGTAGTGACTCATGATGTTCGACCCGGCTGTCACGCCCGGGGCGTAAATGTCATCGCTGTCGGAGGAATCGTCATTCGTCTTCCCTGTCCCGCCGGGGGAAACGACGACTGTGTGAGTCTTGTTCTGCTGGTTCGTTGCTCCGTGATGTCCATGTAACGCCTGTTCCGCGGTCTCGGTTTTCCGCTCCCCCGACTGGTTGAAGGAGGTGATCGTGATTTTCGTCTTCAAATCTTGTTCCTTCCGATGCGTCTCGAGTTCTTCCCGGGTGATGCGTTTTATATGTTTCTTGCTGTTGGTATTATCTCCGTCTTCCGTAAACCCGACCCCAACCGTCCCCCGCTGCTTGGCCTGCAACTGGAAAATTCCGCCCGCGGTTTTTTTCGCGGAGATCATGGATTGCTGCTGGTTCAACACCGAGTCCGCTAACGACTGGCTCATCTGCTCAAACTCCGTTTTTTCCTCTAATTCCGCATCATCCGCGTTGCCCGCATCGTCGACGACGATTTTTTTCCCGAAATTCGCGTTTTCCTTTTTCATCTTCCGGAAATGCGCAGCGAAGGGGGCGTGCTGGAAGGCCAGGTCCATCACTTCCTTTGGGATCATGTTTTTCTTGTTGGGTAATTGCTGTCCTGGTTCTATTTTTTCCTGTTCCTGCTCCCTTTGCTGCCTTTTCATGATCGCCTCTACGATGAAAGCGGCTAACTTCTGGTCCTTCCCCTCCACCAGCAAAGTATACGCCGTCCCCATCAACCCCGCGCGTCCAGTCCGCCCGATCCGGTGTGTGTGGGTCTCCAGTTTCTGCGCCCCGTCGAAGCAAATCACGGTTTTGATGCCCGCGATGTCTAAGCCCCGAGCGGCCACGTCCGTGGCGATCAAAACTTGGATTTTCTGTTTCCGGTACTTCCCCAGAATCTCGATTCGGTCCCTCTGCTCCATGTCCCCGTGTAAGCATCTAATTACCGGCAAGTTGTGCTGCTTGAATTCCTTCTTCTGCTGCTTCTTCCCCCCGACTAACCGGGTCAACTGCTGCATCTCCTGCTCGAGGAGCTTTTTCAGCAATTCGCACCGATCCTTACTCCTCGTGAAAATCAAGGTCTGCTGGTCCAACGCGGTCAAGTCGTGTGGCTTCTCCTCTTCGGGAAGATTTTCAGGATCAGGCTTGCTCTCCGACGGCAGCGGCACCGGCGCGCGCGGGTTTTGGTTCATCACGTAATTCCCAGATTCGAACCCGTTTTGCAGCTGGACCGCGCCAACTGCTGTCCGTAAGGGGAGGTTCATCGAATCTAAGAGCGGGTTTCCAAAATCGTCCACCGGATTTGCATCCGCGTACCACGAATTCCTGGTCTCGTCCACCTGCGCATGCATCCGCTCGAGCAGATTTTTCGACTTTGACATTTCTAGTAAATCCAAATCCTTCGTCCCCTTCACCGTCTCCCCGAAGTGGTAATTTACCAAATACTGTAATTTCGTCTTCACTTCGTCATCGTCCACGACGACAGGTTTCTGCACCACCGTATCCGCCGCCTCCCCCTGCTTCGATTTCCCGACGATCACGCGAATGGCTTTGTTCAAATAATTCTGCGCCAGCATCTCGATTTTCGCCGGGAAAGTGGCGGAGAAGAGTAAGGTTTGCTTCTTCGGGTTCAAGTTCTTTATAATAGAAGTCACCTGGTTCTCGAAGCCCATTTCAAACATGCGATCCGCCTCGTCCAAAACTAAAAAACTGCATCGGATTAAGCTGATCGCCTTCTGCTTGATCAAATCCATGATTCTCCCCGGCGATCCGACCACGATGTCGCAGCCCTTCTTGCACTGCTTCCACTGTTCCTGCTTTGACAGCCCCCCGGCTAAGGTGACGGACCGGAGTTGCTGTTTCTTCCCGAACTTGTAGATCTCCTTCTCGATCTGAATCGCCAAGTCTTGGGTGGGACATAAAATCAACGCCATGGGCCCCGCGTTCTGCATCTCCTTGCTCCCATTCGACTCCCAGTTGAAGATACAGTGCGTCAACATCGGCAAAACATACGCGAGAGTCTTCCCACTGCCCGTCTGAGCCGTGCCGATCAAATCGCGACCTTGTAACGCCACCGGAATAGCCTGGGACTGGATCGCGGTCGGGGTTTCATAGTCGTTTTTCCGCAACACTTGCATGATCTGTTCGTCCAGTGAAAACTGCGCGAAGCTGTACACCGGGCGGGGAATGTCCTGGCCCAGACAGCGGAGTTCTAAATTGTCGCGAAGGGAGGAAACCTGGTAGAGATTTTCAGTATCTGATTTTTAGTTCTTGCACGTAGTTGTTTGTTGTTGACACGTGGATGAAAAGCTCCTACACAGAATGTATTTTCCATGCAATTTGTGCATGACAAAGAACTTATAAACAGCAACACAATAGTTGCTCTAATTTATACCTGCTCCTCCGTCATTTGTTTCACGCTGTCGTGTTCGTCATACAAGTTCTTCTCAAATTCCGGGTACTTTATCTTGCTGTGGTCCACATTGGTATCCAAAACATCGAACTTGATTTATCCTGTGTAAAAACGTCACCACCCCAGAGTTCTACTTGTCATGCAGAATTACTATCTAATGCGCATCCCCATGAGCAGAGGCATTTTCAATCGTGTTATGCAATTTGTGATGCTGTAAACAGGATACCAGGATGGCTTTGTGATGCCGCTGTCCTTGCTAACCCGCATTACACTACAGAGAAAAACTTGTCATGCGTTACTCCCAAAACTTCTGGATCTGTGTTGCAGAATACCCATCTTGACTCTGGGGAGGTGGGGACGTTTTTACAAATGATATAATTCCGCCGCGTTTCAGCGCATTCTGCCCCTCTTCATCGATGTCGTCCGGGGATTCTTTGTCTTGGTTCTGGTCTTTTCCCTCCTTCTGTTTTTTCTTCTTGCGTGCCTCCGCCAGCTCCTTTTCCAGCTGCTCTTGGGCGCTGTTAGGGAAGTGAAATAAAACATTGATAGGAGCCCCCGCTGCAGTTACAGAATAAAATGGAAGACGTCAGAGGATGAAAAGTGGATATTACCTAGTACGCTCGTACGCATGAAAACGATATATCTTATACTCCGCCACGGCGTCGTCCTCCATGTTGTCATTTAAAATTTCCCCTTTGGTCTGCATCGCCATCCCCGGGTTCTGTGCCTTCATGACATTTTCCTTCTCCAATACCGCTGCATTTTGCTTCATAAAAGCCGCCAACGGGTCGTCATCGTCGTCATCCTCTGGCGGAGGCGCGGCTACAGGTTCATCGTCTTTCTTCTTTTTCTTTTTCGCCACCGGCTCCCACTGCTCCGTTCGTAAATCTCGCGCCATCAAAGCCTCGGGGGAAGGTCTCTTATTGTACAGGTTATTTGGATCACCCGATCCCGAAGATAGCATTGCACTTATCGAAAGGAAAAATCCCCCCTCCCCATATCAAAACGGAATTTCTGATGCTGGATTTACGTACACAAATCAGGTTTGTATTGCAGAGAGGCACTGCGGCCAAATCCCCAGGCTAGGTAGGGCCGTATGGGTCTAGTTGTGCAGCATGGCAAGCGGGTCACTTTTAGGGCCAACAGCATGGCAAATCGCTTCCATAGTGGGGCGGAAGCTTCTGCCCTTGTCTTCTTGCAATACAAATGCGATTTGCGACCTCAAATCAGCAACACAAATTTTCGGAAACATACCTTTTCGATATGGGGAGGGGGGATTTTTGCTTTTGATAGCACTATCGTGTGCTGGTGGGGGTCCCATCGGTCCAATTGCAGGCCCTTGGGGGATCGAGCTGGGGTTTATCTTGGGCCGCTGGTGGTCTCCGCCGCCAGGGCCGGCGTTGAAGGAAAAACCGCGGAAGGCCATTGTTTTGCTGGTAGAACTACTGTGGGGTTTCTTTCTTACGGGTGAAGAAGTCTAATAGACAGGTGACAAGATGAGACGCAAGCGCGTCATTGTTGTTGTGTAGGTGGTGGTGGAATAGGGCTTTAAAAGAAGATTTTACAATACTAGCAACACTGTAGTAACAAAATTCTCGACTTGGATACGATCATACCTTATCACAAGATTTTATTGCTTGTTGTCGTTTTCATGTCGCTGTGAGAATGGAAAGAGAGACGATCAAAAGAATCCTCCTGTGTGGTATGAAGCCGAATGCAAACAAGCCCAACAAATTTATGCGAAAAATGAAAGAAAGTCTCTGGATCTTTATCTTCAGCGGTAGCAAAGCAAAAACCTTCATCCCTCTTCGCTTCTTTAGCAGATCAGAGAGACGATCAGAACCTTTTTTCGTTTTGCAACTACAACACTGTATCGAAAAAAATGATCAACGTCGCTTTTGCCTGCCTGCTCTTCGCCTGCTAACCTGTGGCGGACTTGTGAGTTGAAACAAGAGCTCTCGTGATCAGCAGAACGCCTTTGCAGAGGTTACAATCTTTCGGGACAAGAAATTGAATGACGCGTGCGCTTCTCAAGGTGAGCGGAAGAGCCTCGGGACAAGAAATTGAAATTCGAATGGGAACAATTATTAAGTAGTTGAACCACTGGCGCTGCTCAGCATGAAGCAGCCAGGAGAGAAAAAGCACATCGGTGTGGAAACAAACTTCGCCGTCAAGGCGAACGAGCAGGTGAAGATATTGAAACAGACATTCACTTTCACATTTTCGTTTACGGTTTTCCAAAATCGAGACAAAAAAGCAAAATGTTCGACCACGATTCGTGCTGATAAAAATATCTTCTGGTCCTACTAACTAATACCCGTGCAACCCCCCGCCCTTATCATTGTACCCCTTCTGCTTGTACCCTTTTTTCATCCCTTTGCTTCTACCCTTCCCATAGTACGACTCGTCCTCGCCGTAGTCGTCGTAACTTCCCTTTTTTCCCGACTCGTAGTAGTCGTTCTTGTTACCCTTGTATCTTTGAGACTTTTGGTGGTGGTGATACCCACCGTGCTTTCCTCCACCTGCATGGTAATTGCTCTCGTCGCCTCCATAGCCACCAGGATCGTCATACCCGTAGGTGTTATTATGATACCCGTCATTATCAAGTGTAAAAGTGTCTGGGTCTGGAAGAGTCATGCTGTTTCTGCATGACGCAGAAGGTCTGGCATGGAAGCTCTAGCATCACAGGTTTCGAGGAGCTTCCGCAATGCCGAACCCGCATGATAAATCCCCCATTTTGGTGGCAGAAAGTGAGCAGCCCTTGCTACTTATGCATGAGAGACTTTTGTGTGTTCTGAAATGCGCATGACAAGTTGCTTTGTTCCAGACCCAGACACTTTTGCATTTGATAGTCATCTGACGTTCCCTCTTCGAAGAACTGATAGTCCTCGTCGCCTCCATGAACGTCAACTAAATTACCGTCTGCATCATAATGCTCCATCATGTCCTCCTCTTGTTCCTTACTACAGCAGCCGCACAGCAAGCAGGTGACCCAGACCGCGAGTAAGGTCACGCAGATCCCGACGGCGATGAGGATTTTGTTGATGTCGGCTTGGGTCAGGCCGGTAGTCGAGCTGATAGTATTTCCTTCACCCTGCTCGTCCCCAGTTCCTCCTCCGACGGGCGCTTCTTCTTCTGTACTTGATGTATGACAGTGCACAACTCCCCCTCCCCCTCATTTGTCATGCGAAATACGTAAGTAATTTACGCCTTGGCTCTTGGCAATGTTTGCATGACAAGTTCTGGCAGCCGAAATAGCCCTACACTCCTATCCAAATTTGTCATGCAAAACCTGTATTCTTCTTGCTGACGCTTGTATTGCTGTTCATGCAATACAAATGAGGGGGAGGGGGAGTTGTGCACTTTCATATGATGCACCGTAAATCGCGAAGGGGCTACTGCTCGGATCCGGATTGAGCACGCATTCAACCGAATTAATCGTAAGACCTTCCTCGGGCTTACAATGCCCTCCGCTGAGCATGTCGCAATTAGTGTAGGGCAACTCGGCGATCGGCTGCGTGGCTAGGAGTTTTGAGCAGTCGAAACATTGCACAGGACTATCAAATGTAAAAATGTCTGGGTCTGGAAGAATGCAGACTTGTCATGCAGGTTTTCCATGACCCATGAGGTCTGGTGTGTAGGACATAGCATGACAGATTCTGTGAGATTTCTATCATGCTTATCCTGCATGAGAGACTGCCTCTCGATTAGGTCAAAAGTGGCCAGCTTTTGGCAATCATGCAACACAGATTTTCGAATGATTCAGATTTAGCATGACAAGTTAGATTCGTCCAGACCCAGACATTTTTGCATTTGATAAGGACCGTCATTCAGCCACTTTTTCTCCCCGGAAACAATTTGAATTCGCTTCTTCTGCCCGTAGATACAATTCCGCGCTTTTGCGGCGTCACAGAGCTCTTTCGTTGGCAGCGTCGCGCAGGGGCCGTTGGGGTCGATGTAAATGGTAGTGGTCGATGTGGTTGAAGTTGTGGTCGTAGTCGTGGTGGTCGTGGTCGTTGTTGTCGTCGTGGTTGTTGTCGTGGTCGGCGGCGCTTCCGTGGGCCGGGTTCCAGTCGGGGGAGTTCCGATGCCACCGGAATTTGTCGCGTGGACAACGGTGGTCGTGGCTGGCGTAAGCGGTGGCGCGGTTGTCGTGTCCACTTTCCTCATGCACCCATCGTTCGCAAATTGGGAAAGCCCGCCGCCGGCGTGCACATGCGCATACCCAATCAAGGCGTCGCCCCACATGTAAAAGAGACGACACAGGCACGTGGAGGTTTGGTACAAGTAACCCCCGGCATCACTGTTGTCGTCACAGGCCATTTGGCAGTGGATCTGGCTGCAAGCGGGTAGCTGCGTTTGCCTCGTGTACTGCTGCAAGTCTGCCTGTCGCAACTCCGCTGCTATTTCCGACTGTGGGCACAACACGAACTCCTGCGTCCCGCCACGCCCGACGTCGCACGCGCAGCCGCCAAACCCGGCATTCGGGTACCGGCACGTCTCATGCTCGCAGCCGCCCAGGTGCTGTGTTTGTGCGGTTCTGCTATTTTTCGCGACTACATGTTGAGCCAGGCCTTCTTCTTGCCGTTCTACTACTGCAGCTGCTGCTTGGATGCTCTCTCGTTGTCCCACCTGATAAAAAGTAGACTCTTGCTCCAACTTTAGCTCGGCCAAGGAGGCCGTTTTTTGCGTTTCATCTTCCCCGCCTGTCGTGGTCCTCGGCTGCTCTCGAGAAATACTAGACCTGCCACTGCTTCTCTTTATTTCTCGACTGTCCCTTCCCGCGAACAAAGCTTTCCGTACCGGGGATGTTGATCCTCTATTGCTTTTGCTTCCCCGTCTAGAGGTCCTTGCTCTACCTGTGCTTGTAGTTTCCTTATCGTACAGCTCACCGTTTTGTTGGTCCTGCTCCTGCAAAATTTTTCCCAGATGCTCGCCAGGATAATTCTGAAAACCATCAGACTCATCTCCATAACCGGCGCTCTCAGAATTCTTTTCTCGTCCTTGGTGCAGACCTAGGAAAGTCCCCTCAGGACGATGATGGACATCATCTTCGTTCCTGTTGTTCTCCACCTCCGCTGTGTTCTTGTTCTCCTGCGCAGTACTAGTAGTTCCCTGCTTGTCCTTCTCCTCTGTCGTTCGGTGTGTCGCGAAATGAACTACCCGGGACAAGGTGGTTTTCTTCGTCGTCGCTTTATTTCGGGTCTGCAGCCTGTAGGCGTGGGAGAATATTATTGACCCAGTTGATGACGCACCGGAAAATAAAGACGTTGTATAACTTCTAGTACCAGCGCTGAAGGGTGGCCCGTTTTCCATTTTTGAAGTAGGAGCCAACAGGATCCAGTGCAGCAGGCCGGGTCCTCGGACATCGTCAAGTAGGGTCAAACAAGTCGGGGAGAAAAGTAGAAGTGGAAATAAAACGACCACGAGACGAAACTGAAAGAAGCGCTGTGACCAAGTTGTCAAGCGAAATTTATTTTTCGAAATGGTTTTTAACATGTCTCGTCCACCACCTCGAAGCCAACGACAAGGCGGGGAGAGGAAAATTACTTCGGGACAAGGTCTCTGTAAAAGGAGGAGCGGTTCCTCTTAGTCTGTAGCGTGGTCTATCATCTCCGGTGTCATCAAATCAGACCGGTCGGGGTGGCAGTTGTTAACATCATCTGTGATTAGTATTCATATTCATGACCTTAAGACAAAAGCTTGCTGTCAGCAGTGGGAACCTCGGTGCAGCTGGGCCCGACGAACGCCGTGCAGTAACAGCGGCTTTGGGCGTTCCAAACAACCAGCTTATTCGAGGACGATGAGTAGGAAGCCAATGCTAAAATCATCACGGCACGACAGTTCGGAACGAGACGAAATGGACGACTTTTTTCTACGACATCAGGACATCAATTTTGATGTCTTATATCGTCTGAACGAAGGAGAACGACCTACGAGAGACGAAAAGCCTGTGTCAGTTTAACGGGAAGAACCACGGGTACCACAGTAGTGGAAAAATTTTCAGATTCAGTACTTTTACGGGAGAACAAGTAGGGCCAAGTTTCATTGCGTACAACAACAACCGCTAGCACGACGCTGGCGCTGCCAAGAATACTTATACTTACTTTTACACCGGAACATTAAATTCAGACAAAAATGGGCCCGGTCTTGTTTGAGGCCCAGCTCCTCGCGCCCTCTCCCTCTCGGGGCCGGGAAAAACCGAAGAAAAAATTTTAGCGCCAGGGGGGGAAAAGTAGAAATTTTGAAGATACGTGTTTGCTCCTGAGCTCGAACATGAAAACGGGGAGGTAAGCAAAAAATCTGGAACTGATATGTTCTTGATAAGTACGTGAATAAAAATTTGTGTGCATTTTGGTATAATTGGTTTCTTCTTTCTATGGGGTTTGATTCTGGACCACTTTGATGGTCGCGCTCTTGAGAGGTTCTAGTAAAACACGAGGACTTGTTTTGTGTGATTCATGCGACAAGCCTGGTCAACATAGGTGGAACTTCTACAGAAGGTCAGTAATACCCCCCCTGAGCCGCGTAGCCGCCCCCCTATCAACTGCAAAAATGTCTGGGTCTGGAAACTTGTGATGCAAGTCGGTGAACAATAAAGTGCTCTGTAAATGCGCCGCCAAGCATGACAAGTTTTTTCGTGTTTCTGTGCTGCGTATTTCGCATGAGAAACTGCGCTTTTGCATTGCAGGCAAGACGAGGACCTCTTGGTGGCCACGGAATACAGAGTGCAGAGTCATGCTAGACTAGCATGACAAATCTCGCAATCCTCCAGACCCAGACATTTTTGCATGTGATACCCCCTTCGACGGGCGCATTTGACTCGCCCGGTTCGTGCTTTTCCCTGCTCCTTTCCGCATGGACCCGGCCCCCTTGGACGCCCGCGTATGGGTGTGGCAGGATCGAAATCGTCAAAGTTGAAATAATTTGCAATGCAGAAAATGCATGACGCGAGGTACGTGCGTTGCAGAGCAGGCAAGTGAGGCCGATTGTAAGCCTGTTTGGGGTTGGAGCTCGAGCTGCTAAAGTAGCATGAGAAAATCAGTCTTCTTTGCCTAAACAGCATGACAGACTGGATTTAAGGACCGCCAAAATTTGTCATGCGCCACTTGGAAACTGGGCTCCAACTGGCATCCATTTTATGCATGGCAAATCATTTCAACTTTGTCAATTTCAATCCTGACAGTTCCATACCGCGACGCGCGGGCATACTCGTTCAGCGAATAGTGAGAGCCGTCGTCACACCACCCCAAATAGTACATGACGACCCCTCCACCCACCAATACCAAGACCACGGCAACCCAGATCAGAATGGTTATGGGAGTGTCAGGATTGCAATCGTCCAAGTTAAAATAGTTTGTCATGCATAAAATCGATACCAGTTGGAAGCCCAGTTTCCAAGTGGTGCATGACAAATTTGGGTAGAACCGAAATCCAGATTGTGATGCTGTTTGGGTAAAGAAAACGCCTTTTGGCATGCTATTTTAGCAGCTCAGTTTCTACCCCTCAACAGGCTTACAATCTGCCTCACTTGCCTACTCTGCAAGCCAGGCACGTTGTGGGCTGCATTTTATGCATAAACAAATCATTTCAACTTTGTCGATTTCACTCCTGACACATCCATAATGAGGTGCAATGTGGTAATCGCGGACTCCTCCCCTGGTGGAGAAACATAAGGTGTGGCGCTGGGATATCCTGTGTAAACACGTCCCCATCTTCCCAGAGTTGTCATGCAGATTTGCGACTACAGGAACATTTGTAATGCGCATCCCCAACGGAGGCATTTCCAGTCCTGTTTTGGAATTTGTGATGCTGCAAACAAGACAAGCACATGGATTTGCGATGCGGAAGATATCCTTGCTAACGTGCACTATACTGCGGACTACTGCAACTTGTCATGCGTGGCTCCCAAAACTTCTGCATTTGTGTTGCTGAGTTCCCAACCTGACTATGGGGTGGGAACGTTTTTACATATGATACGGGAGTCGGACTAGGTCCCGACTGCTGTTCGTCCGTGCTGTATCAAAAGGAAAAATCCCCCCTCCCCATATCGTAACGAAGCTTCTGATGCCAGATCTGCTTACACTAGTAGTAGTAGTAGTAGTAGTAGTAGTAGTAGTAGTAGTAGTAGTAGTAGTAGTAGTAGTAGTAGTAGTAGTAGTAGTAGTAGTAGTAGTAGTACTAGAGGACTGCAAGCCCATATCAAGCCCGAGTAGAGAGGCGCTGGCCTAGGTGCTTAGCATGCTAAACGTCTATGCTGTAGGCCCAATAGCATCACAAACTGCCTACATAATACTGCGGGGCCTGTGGGGTTGCCTTCGTGCAAGACAGAGAGGATCTGTGGTCGCAAATTTTTTTTGCCTGCGGGAGCGGATCATGTTCTTGTTCTTGTGGGCTTGTGTTACGGTGAGAACGGCACCCACCCGTTGTGCTTACTAATGCGCTCCCACGCGCGAAATTCTTTTCATCTTTTGCATCACACATGTACAAAATCGGCGAACCCCCTAAACCATCACCTTTCTTCATCTTCTGCGGCCCTCACGCACCAGGACTACTCCTGATACGCGGGAACAACCCGGAGGTTGTTTTGCATGATAAGATCGCCAGCAGAGTGCATGCAGCAGTGGGAGATACAAAATTACTTTGAACCCTAAACCCCGCACAACGCACTGAATCCTAGTTAACGTCTAGAGCCGTAAGCCGCGGCAGACGTCCACCAGGGGAGGTAGATGGGGTCGTAGTAAATCGAAAAAAAGTTTCTGCGCGCCCACATACAAAGATATCGGTCGAGAATATTTGTATGCGCAGTAAGCCGCTGCACGAAGAGATTAAAATTTTTCAAAATATCTATTAGAACTAATTCGCCTTCCTGCGCCCCGGTACTCGAGCACGCAAATGCAAACTGAGATCTTCGGCGGCCAGTCATGCATTACAAATGGGGAGCAGGTCCCCCATGACCAACCTATGAAAACGGCCCACCGAGCGCACCCGCTTCCTCTAAGGGGAGGCCCACGAATATTAAATGGTCGAGCTGATTTGGAACAGGCGATACTAGTGACCTAAGTGCGAAAAGCCGTGCATTTAGCAAACGCGGAACCCTGAAGCTGTACTATGACCCAGATGCCGAGGGACTTTTGGAAACTACTCCGGGTTCGAAGTGCGAATGCCGCCGATGCCGAAAAAACGCACGTAAAAATGTGATCTACACAAAAAATTATTTGTATTTTTTTGTTTTTCAAGTCGTGCTTATGGCTGCGCAAAACGGTCTATCTAAAACGGGGGAGGGATAGGGACGGTTGATCCCCGGGTGGGAGGGACGGTTGAACTCAGAAAGCCACTTTCCCCAGAATCAAACCCGCTGGCAAGGCGGAAAAAAAAAACAGCTGCCCCTGCGAGGACGCGGGCTACGCAGGCTAGCGCTAAGAAGGCGAGTCAGGTAAGCCAACAACACTACACGACAGAAGAAGTAAAGGGGTAGGCGCCAAAATCTACATGGGAATATGGGGGAAGCCGGGAAGATCGTATTTTTTTAAAGCAGGAGGAGCGTACGAATTTGCGATCAAGCTCCTGAAGAGGACGAACGAAGGGCGACACACGTGTACGAACCGACGCTGCGCAGTAAGCCGCTGCGCAGACTCGAGGACAGTGGTCCTCTCGGCCTCTATTCGGCTACCCGCATGCAAAAAAAATATTGAAGAAAAGGAAAAGGGGACTCCAGCCCTTTTTAGACGGGCTAACCAGAAAAACATATCATCATCATTCTAAAAAAAAAGAAATAACGAATCAAAATCGAACATGCAAAAGGGTAGGCACCCCCCAAAAAGATGTCTTTTTTCTTTCTGGAATTGTGTTACGGCGAGAACGGTACCCGCCCGCTGCGCTTACCTAGCGTGCTCCCGTCACGCGTCATGCGATAAAATTTCTTCGAAACCCTAAACCCATCAAAGCATGCCTTTCGGGAGATACAAACCGGGGGAACCCTAAACCCGCGCAACGCACTCGCTTTAGTTAACGTCTAATGCCGAAAGCCGCGGCAGACGTCCACGTTGGGACGTAGATGGAGACGTAGTAAAATATGTAATGTTTTTGGGGGGGCGGGGCTAAAGGTCGAGACTAAAGCTATGTGCAGAAGCCGCTGCACGAAGAGTAGTGAAAATTTTTGATTTTATCTATTAGCAACTAATTCGTCTTCCAGCACCCCGGTACTCGAGCACGCCATGCAAAAACGAAATGTCGGCGACCAATAATGCATGACAAGTGGGAAACGAATTCCCCATGACCAACCTATGAAAGAGGTCAACCGAGCGCACCCGCTTCCTCAAAGGGGTGGTCCACGAATACTATAGGCCGAGAATGGATCAGGTGATACTAATTTTCTAGAACGACCAAACGCGCATTTAGCTGTCGCGCGCCTTGTATACGAGACTATGACCCTTATGCCGAAGGACTTTGAACAACTACACCAGGCGCATAATGCGACAGCCGCCGATGCCATAAGGTCGAACGTAAGACATGATCTACGGAAAAAGGACTAGAGTAAGGACGCAGGACTAGTGTTTGTGTAGATGAACCCCGGGAGGGAGGGACGGCTGAACCCAGACTGCATTCTTCCCCGCGACAAAATCCGCTGGCAAGGCGGAAAAAAAAACAGCTGCCCCTGCGAGGATGCGGGCTACGCGGGCTAGCGCTTGAGCCAAAATGGCTACGGGCTAACCAGAAAAAATTATCATCATCATTCTGAAAATCAAGAAATAACGAATCAAAATCGAACATGCAAAAGGGTAGGCACCCCCCTAAAAGATGTCACTTGCGCTACTTGTGCGACGGCAATTCTACGAGAAATCCAGCCGCTTGGAAAAAGTAGAAGAGCCTTCCACACAGTAGTGCACCCAAATGCTATTGGCATGCTGACGGAGGAGAGATTCTCCTTTTTGGGTCGCATTAGGGTATAGAATACGTGAGCACTTCATACATAATTTGACATCTTTCCTCCACTATTGAAAATCTAGCCTCCGCCTCCAGAAGAATCTACCGCCGTCGGTCTGGACGACACTCAACCACCCAGGGACGGCCGTTGCTGCATTGGTGGGAGCGTCCTTGGCTCGTTCTCCTGGACTTGACGGGTGCTAGATGCGCAATAGCGTGCTGTCCCCAGTTGCATGTCTTTTCCTAGCCTTAAAAACAAAAAAACTCAAATCAGATCTGTGGTCGCAAATCAGCATGGCAAATTTTCTGAGGTGTGCCTTTTCGATATGGGGAGGGGGGATTTTTCCTTACGATACGCTGGGTGACGGAGCTTGCGCCAATGTCGTGGTTGTCGTCGTGGTTGTGGTCGTGGTTGTCGTTGGCTTCGGCACACACAGACCCTCGGCTGGATTGACTTCGCCAGCTTCATACACGCAACTGCCGCCCGAAAAACCCTCGCACTCGGCCTCGGTCTTTCCGTCTTTTGTGCTGTATCCTGTGCAAAAGTATCGCACTCGCAGTAATCGCAGTTATGCATCACAAATTTCCTTCCGGAGCCAAATCAGCATTTAGAAATTCCATTTGCTATGCTGAGCAAATTTGTATAAATGCAATTTCTACCAGTGCAATGCTTTTGCAATGCTTATGCTGCAGCTGAGACAGATCTCCTCACCACCTTCCTCCACCCATCTTTCCGCACTTTCTAACTTGTACTTCACACCCCACACGCATTTGTCTTCCTCGTGCGCGCCATTGCACGAACTGGCGTCATGGAACCCGAAACCGACGCAAGGCTTCTTTTTCTTACAGGGATGCGTACTCCAACTGTCGAGGAGGTCTTTCAACGTGTTTCTTTCTGCATCATCTCCCTTGCCATACAACGCATCGGAAAGCCAGGATTCCCTTTCCTCCTCCTTTTTCCAGACCTGGGTTACTGCAAACTTTTTTTCTGCTCCTGATTCGTCATTGTAAATCAGACAGTTATTTGAATAATTGTAACCCGTGCACTCTCCCTTGATGGGTTTGTCTGCGCTCCACGTTTTCCAAGTACCATCGCCGTTGGGAAAGTGCTTCGAGTTCCAAGCGCTTTCATTGTCGAGGCTTTCCACCCATTTGTTATTAAGACAAGACTCCGCACACTGCCTTTCGTTGACATCCGCCACAAACTGCGCATTCGCCCACAGGGGGTGATCATCGTTCCCGCAGTGCCCATTTATGCAAGAAAAAAACTGTGTAAGTGTAAGTCTCTTGGAAGAATAGCATCACAAGTTTGCTCTGCATGCTGCATGACGCAGAAAACCTGTTATGCGTAGCTAGTACTTGATGATGATGATGATGTTGGCAGTGTGCCCTTTTGCGGACTGCTGCGTGCTACTCCCTCCTCCAGCCCGAGAGCACTTGAAAACACGTACGAAAATAGCCTCTGATGCATGTCCAGCATGACGAGTGTAACAGTTTTGCATTTTCTGCAACACAAAGTTACACTTACACAGTTTTTTTCTTGGATACCATTCCCCACAAGTTCAAAGTTGTCGGTGATCACCGAGTTGTCCTCCGACTCAATTTTTGCGGTTCCGCTTTCGGTATCAACTGCAACAATCCCTGGATGTCTGGAAGAGTCGGGGCTTGTCATGCACGTTTTGCATGACCCGTGAGTTCTGTGATGCTGGTGCTACCATCACAAAGTTAAAGTTTTTGAGAGCTGCTTGATGCCAATTACGCATGAGAAATGCCCTCTCCGCGTGCCAAAAACTGACTCCTCTTGCTGCTCATGCACCACAGATATTTTTAGAATCCGCGGAAAGCATTACAAGTTCGACTCTTCCAGACATCCAGGGATATTTGCAATCCATATTCGGTTCCGGTTTTGGAGGACGATGAAACCTGCATCAATATCCTGTGTAAAAACGTCCCCACGCCAGAGTTGTCATGCAAATGTGCAACGACAGGAACATTTGTAATGCGCAGCTCCATGAGAGGCATTTCCAGTCGTGTTGTGGAATCTGTGATGCTGTAAACAGGATGGGAAAGTTGCTTTCTCATGCGGCTTCTCTTGCCAATCAGCACTCCGTTGCAGAGGGAAACTTGTCATGCACAGCTCCCAAAACTTGGAGATTTGTGTTGCTAGATTCCCAACTTGACTATGGGGTGGGGACGTTTTTACTCAGAATAATCAACATACCCCCGGTCCTCGTCGTGCCGTCCTCTCCCTGTTGATCCGCGGAAACCACAGAAGTTGTGCGAGAACTACTTGCAAAAATCTTCTGGCCATGCTGGTTCTTGCTCCGGTGCGACAACGTCCTGTGCAGATCTCCTGTCCGTTTCTGCTGCACGAGCTGGAATGCGTTTGCTGCACTATGATCTTGAAGATGATGCGCGAGGAGGAGGAAAAGTGACAGGAGAAAAGATCCTCGTGGTCGTGTCGAGTAGAGACTGTGCGCGCAAGACCCGAAGGTGGAGAAGGCACTTCTATGCTGGGTCCTTCTGATGTTCCAAGAACCCATCATCTTGGAGGAAGATCTACGGCCGGCGGGTATTAAACAGGTACTTTTATGATCCTGATAAGTTGTATTCTTACTCCTAGCGAAGGGGCGTGAGAAAAATCAAAAGGGATGTAGTACTTTCAGTTTCCATTGAAGGCTTGTTTCCCTGGAGGAAGAAGGAGGAGAACCAGAACGACAAGTACAACTATGCAGCTTCGTTTGAATATAGTGAAAATACGGATTGTTTCATGGAGCTAGTACGTACCAACACGGCTGGAAGCTGTACAACTTTGGTCAAGGTCGATCAACTGAACGGCGTCGAAAGGACGGCAAGTGGACGACAGTGTGCCACGAATTTAAGAACGACACGTGGACGACGGACAAATGGGACGACGAGCACTATGAACGGAGAACGGAACCAAAACGAACCATTTTACTTCTGTCTAGCTGCTACATTTATCGGCTAGTTGTTACATTTATTCCGCACCGCGTAAACCGAACCCAAATTGCGAACTCCATTGTGAATCACTGCGGCATATTCTTCAGACCCGGGACTGATTGGACTATCTACATACAAGGTTGCTTTTTGCTTTTACAATTGTGCATTTTTCGTCAGGAATCGTTCACGTTTCCGCTCGTTTGGCTTTCAAAATACTTTGTTCGTTGTCCCTAGTTGGTTCTCCTCCCAACGCTGAAGTCGGTCTCAAATTCTACGGAGTTTTCTGTATAGTTTCTTGTTGGTCATGATCTGTTTTTAATCGTTTCGGAATCGAAGTTGGTGCACAGCTGCAGCTCGATCAAGAGCGCGGTTAAAGCGAAACAGTTTGTGATGCTGCAAATACGTTCATGCGTAATCTGAAATAGAAGTTCCGGAGACAGTTTGATCTCACTAAAGCGACGAAGTGTAAAGACGAACGAAGTTTTCCAAACGTAAAGAAGTGCTAGAACATCGGGAAAGTCCA